CTTCATTATGATATACTAATTTGACAAACAATTTACACAATTGATTTGGTGTAGCAGTAAATGATGCTTCTTTCATAGCCACATATCATTCATCATCATTGCTAATTAGATTATTTGTCACACATGCATCTGTCCAAGTTTTAAGACCTTTGTCCCATACATATTTTTTGGTTAATTGATTGTATGATAGATTTTTCGTTACTTTATCTTCTTTATTTATGGCAAACCAGTGAGAGAGCATGATTCTATTTTACGGAAATGTATAACGAATAGTTTTTTTTAATGTTATCAAGCAATATAAATAGATTTTAGAAGACACACGTACTTTCCCTCTCTCTCTAGTGGTGATTGTACGGAGCCGGCGTCGGCTGTACTCTTCTTTTTCTGTTCTTAATTTAGTTGAAACCATGTTTCCTCTTTCTCTTTTAAGAGAATGTTTTATGTGCGATTCTCGCATTTGCTTTCTCTTCCTCCGGAAGAGCATTGTCCGATGGTTATTTCATGATCTTTCTGGGTTAATTCTGTCGGTGTTAGTCCGTTTGAGTAAAATATCAGACGGTTGGTTGAAATTATCCTTTTTGGATGAATTCAAAATCTTTAAACCGCCTTGGGATATCATTTTTCTGTGTGTTTCCCAGAATTATTCCTTCAGTTTTGTCTATGATCCTTATCTACTAGAAGTGATACAATACAACATCACTTCCAAGTCACTAATCTGGGGGCAAACGATGTAATGAGTACTTTTCAAATTGATTGTGTCTTCACTACTGATCCAGGTTTTTTCTCGCTGAACTCTTTATGTGATATATATTTCTGGAGAAATCTCAGTTTTCACAAGAAGGATAATATATTCATTATTATCTCAACGGAGAACAACCGCATGAAGTCATCAACAACTTGTCTGGAAAACAAATTGAATGAGATGAATCTTGTTCATTATTGGGCACGAACTTTGGATGGGTCAAAATCACAGTTTCTCCATTGACATTGATACGAAATGTTTGGTAACAATTTCTCTATTTTTCAGAACTATCAACAAAAGCAATGGGTTTATTAATGCGATGTGCAAGTAGAAGTCTCGATGAAGAAAGAAAGACTATGCACAACATCCGCATAAGAAGATCGATTATCAATAAGGAACTTAACAGATTTAATCATCTGTTTGCTAGTAAGACCTCAGTAAAAAACATCGTCAATTCATTTATTTCTTTTAATCATCTTCAGCATATATCTGATGTAATATTTTGCTTTTGAAATTACTGTAATGACTTTGTAATGTTTTGCTATTAATGAATGAGTTTTGACAAAAAAAAAATAGAAGACACACGTACTTAAAATACGCGATTGTTAGTGAAAAGAGAGTAATTGAACGTTGCAACTTTTGAAGGTGTTTAAAATTTCTAATTTGTATTTATTGGTTTTGTATAACATATTTTCTACTTTAAGAGTAAAATCAAGATGGTTTCAGAGAACGAAGAAGATTCAGAAATAATTTTTTTTTATTTCCAAACTATTTGAAAATATACATACTTTTAATTTTGAAGAAATTCCTTTAGTTAAAAGATTTTTGGAAAGTAAAAAATTGAAAAATCATAAAAACAAAACAAAGGGAAGGAAGAGAGAATATATGTGTTTGGTAATGATGTTGCTGTGAAAGTGTTCATCATCTTTGAACAACGTGTCCGATCTTTACGATTAATCCAAAGACTAACCAAGCTCAAACCCCTTCCCTCTCTTGTTCCTATTTGTCTCTAAGCAAACCCTAATTTTGGTCCCATATTATTTTTCTTTTTTTCTCTAGTACTCATATTTTATATTTGTAGCTAGGTCCTCACTAAAAAAACAGAAAATTGCAAAAAAAAGGATACTTTTAGAATTACCCTCAATAATAAAAATAAAAAATTCAAAGAAATATACATATTGCTGCCTTCTAATGAAAAAAAAATCATCAGGGATTTTAAAATGGATCTGGTGATACTTGAGAGATTTCGTTAGGCTGTGTAATATGTATAATATAATGTTTAAAGATAACACAATCTTTAGTCGATGGGGAAAGTTATAGTCTGCTATGATATTTACTCATTTCACGACACAACAATCATAGAACAAGAACCATTCTGATTTCGGTTTATAGATCATCGATCTATATATCTTTGAGAGATTTGATGTATCAGTTTTGTGAAAGCTAATATCATAAACAAACTGTATAATTGTTTTACCTTTTTATTGCCACATAACATTTTTTATAATTATTAACTAATTTTTTTGATGTAGATATATCTTCAAAACTACTCTGAATTTTATATTTTTTTGCAAAACAAACATAAACCATTAAAGTAAGAAAGTAAATATCAGATCCAAATGATTTTAGTTTTTGGTTCTGAGCAATCTAAATAATTTTGAAAAGATACAATGAAAAGTTGCAACTATTTAGAATGAAAAAACGCAACCATTTATAATGAAAAGATGCAACCACCAATTTTGAAATGACACAACTTTTCGAAAGTTCAATTGATATTTATTCATATTGTTATTATATATAGATGTGTGAACAATATGTTTAAAAGTGAGGATCATCCCTATTTTTATTAGCTAAATCCTAAATAATTGAGCAAATGAGTGGACCCAGCTCTTGAACTAGCCAAAAACAAAACATATGAAAGTGGTCACCTTTTGTGGGGCTATGGATTGAGGTATTGGCAAATGCAAACTAAGAATTGACTTATTAAACCTTTAGTGAAATGCAGATTTATTCTTATATATGAAAAAAATAAGTATGATGAGATTCGAGATTTAGGCAAGATATATTGAATGAGCTAATAGTGATTGAATACCCCACCAACCAATTATTATTTGGAAACAATTTAAACTATATACTATGTTGCCAAAAGAAATATAAATTATATAGGGATAGAGACATTCTACCACTTGGTTTCTCAAATTTTAAAGAGCCTTTAGCATGATTAGTCTTCACTTCTCATTATGTCTCACTCGAAATTATTTTTAACAAATTCAAAACTTGTATTTTCAGAAAATTATAGTTATGAGATTCATTTTATGTGTTAGATCATATCTGCTTTTAGATACATAAATGAAAAGAAAATCTAAACATTCAATTTGTACATTATGTAAAACCCACAAATACCATTCTATAATCATTTTTGTACTGTGATATTTTGTTAAGTTGTCCAACTGATAAGGATGGAGCAATATTCTCAATTTTAATTGTTAATGGACCACGAACCAAGTCATGTGATTTAATTTATACTCACAGCTATTTATTATTTGAGTGAAGATGCTACCACTTGAAAGAGAAAAAAATATATATTGGTTTATCAAATGTAGGCAGAGTTAAGTAACTCGCATTTATAAACTATATATCGTCTTCTTTTTTGGCCAAAAACTATTTATTGTCAAGATAAAGTAAAAGCATTTCGTGAGCTCATTCTCTATGATGAGTATTAAGATAACATTATCTTTAACTATGTTGTAAAGATCAGAGACTAAGATGCAACTTAAGAGGATGATGCTATTTTATCTTTCCTTTTGGAAGTTTAATGATTAATAATTTTCCATTAGAAGAAATCATTTTCGCTAGTTGACAAAAAAAGTTTCCGTTTTACTAATTTGCATCACAGATCCGTCACTATCATTTTTGACAACCATTTTTCCATTCATATTCATCATTCGTTTCTCTGTCAATTAATCCGTAATAATTTTCACACGATACTCTTTTTATAGAAAACTTATAAAATATTAGATCACTAAATATATATCTTCGTTCGTATTTTAGTCAAAGACTCATTCACATTAACTAATTTTTCATCAACCGTAATTTTCAAATACCAAGCTTCCTTGTGTTACTAGAGAACTCCAGTCAATTGCAAAATAAGTTGAGTTAAATTCATTAATGAGTACCAGTTACAAACGTAAGGTACATCTTCCTCTTTATATATATACATAAACGCATTCAATTATTACAATATAAATACTAACTGGAAAAAAAAAAACACAGCTTTGGATAACAGAAGAAATAGTATTGACCACAAATTTATCTTCCTAAGAAATACTGTATGTACATTTCAATTAAGAAAATTGGATACGGAAGAAAAATACCCCCAAGATTTGTTTGACAATTATAACCGAAAATAGTTAAATAAACAGATAGTCTTAGTTTATAAAAATAAGTATAAATTAATAAGGATGATTAGGAAGAAAAAATGGTATGATGACGGCATCAAAGTTTTAAAAAGGGAGAAACAAAATCAAATAGAAAGTGTGTGGCAAGGCGTACAACCACTTGGCTCCTACGTGGCAGATAAAGTAACGGTTTCAATTAGTACGTGAACAACACGTGATGTAAGAGCGCGTGGTATAAGAAAGACGGTCCAGCGAGGTGGAGACCAATCAATCAAAGACAACAGTACACTTCTCTCTACTCTTGCTCGATGGCGATTCGTAAGCCTCCGTAGCCAAATCTTCTTCGTCTCTTTCCTTCAACCCAAATTCCACCACCTCTTCTTCTTTTGCTTTCTGATTCGGATAAACTTCACCTCTTCGAGATACGGATTTTCTCTAACTATTTGTATTTCTCCAGAGATTTTCCCGCGAAAGTTTCAATTTTTTTCAGCTTCTGATGTCACATTTGGTGATTCTCGAGGGGATGATTCCCCGAAAGTGTTAGTTTTTTTTTTTTCTTATGCAGGAGTTACAAAAAGTAGAATACTTTTTTATCATATTCTCAGGTGCGTTTCTATTCATCTGTCTTTTGGTATTGTTTTTGATTTTGTCCTTGACTCGTATTATATCTTAGCTTTCGTTCTTTTAATACATTTTTTTTTTGTTCTTCAAGCTCTTCAATTTCAATATATGAAAATCTTGTTAGTCTCATTCTAGGACGTGTAGCTCAAAACTCAAAAGCCATGTACTTTTGTTACTCCTATTCTACAGTTTTAGTTCACAAAGGAAAATGAAAATTTGTTATGTTTGCTTGGATTTAGATTGGGTTTGGCGATTTAGTCAAAGATGGAACACCGGATGATTCTGTATGCCTTGTTCTGGAAGTTAACTTCACAAATTGACTCAATCCTTGTCACTAACATGTTTATTGATCCCAACATTCTTATGCTAATCATCTTCCTCCATTAATGTTTTTTCCTCAGCGACTTTGAAGGCCAATTGTAACTCAGTGTTTGCTGCAAACTTATGGCGGATCTTGTCAAGAGGCAATCTTGATCAGTGTTAGGAACCTAATTGGTCAAGAAGTCATGAGCAGACATAGGCTTGTGTCAACGGCACAAGACGAATGCAATAAAGGAATTCGCCAAGCTTGCTCGTCTTCTCTGTCTCCGGTCCACAACTTTCTCAATGTCCAGCCAGAAAACACGAAATCTCCTTTCATACGATCACAATCTCCAGATTCACCTGGTCAGCTATGGCCAAAGAATAGTTCTCAGAGCACGTTCTCACGGTCTTCCACCTTCTGCACAAACCTCTACGTGTCATCGTCTTCGAGCTCTGAAGCTCAGAAACATCTAGGAAACAGTCTTCCCTTCCTCCCTGATCCCTCCGCTTATAGCAAGTCTGCTTCTGGTGTGGAATCTGCAAGATCTCCATCTGTTTTCAGCGAGGATTTGGGAAATCCATTTGATGGAGACAGCTCCGGGTCGCTTGTCAAAGATTTTCTTAATCTTTCTGGGGATGCTTGTTCCGATGGCGGTTTTCATGATCTTGACTGTTCGAATGACAGCTATTGCTTATCAGATCAAATGGAACTGCAGTTCCTGTCTGATGAACTTGAGCTGGCCATCACAGACCGCGCTGAAACTCCCAGGCTTGATGTAAGTTAATCTCAGTCTTGTCCATATTTTATGAGTTTGCATCCATCACTTTGCGTTGCTATGAGTCTATGACAAACATTGACCTATACTCTCACAACTAGATGACTTCACAATCACTTCGCCAACAGTTTAACACATTCGGTCATGCTGCTGATACATTGAGACTAGAGAGTGAAGAATGAATTTCTAACACTTCGCTTTTTGGTTGATTCAGGAGATTTATGAAACGCCAGTGCCTTCAAATCCAGTCACCAGAATGAGTCTAAGCCAAAGCCGCGTTGCTGGAGTAGTGTCTATTGACGCAGTTTCATCTCACCCTTCTCCGGTATCAGCAGCCAATCACAAGCCGAGAATGAGATGGACTCCTGAGCTCCACGAGCTTTTTGTAAAGTCGGTGACCAAACTTGAAGGGCCTGAAAGTGAGTTTTAGCTTTATGAGATACTCGTAGACACTTGTGCTAACCATTGGTTTACATATCCTTTGTTTTCTTTTCATCCGTCTGCTGATAACACATAACCCGGTGTTGCTTCAAAACATGCAGAGGCCACTCCAAAGGCTGTTCTGAAGCTCATGAATGTTGAGGGCTTGACGATCTATCATGTAAAAAGCCACTTGCAGGTACTACTAAATCAGTTTGAGCCTGACCAAGTTTTCAAGTACATTATACCAAATTAGCTGAATATCTCCGAAAATCATTGACTTGCAGAAGTATAGACTAGCCAAGTATATGCCAGAGAAAAAAGAAGGTAAAGCTTCCAACTTGTAATTGTGATTACACAGATTCTATGTTCCTTCATAATTACGGACCTTAAAGCTTCCAACTTGTTATTGTAATTACACAGATTCTATGTTCCTTCATAATTACGGACCTTTATTTTCCTTTTTATTCCACAGAGGAAAAGAATGTCAACTCAGAAGAAAAGAAACCGGCTTTGCGTAACAGTGAAGCTGATGAGAAAAAGAAAGGGTGAGTGCATTGTGTTTCTTGCTTGGTTTCTGCTTCCATCCCCAAACATGTTTCAAACTTGACTCTCTTCTTCCATGGACAGGGCAATAGAGTTAACTGAAGCTTTGCGTATGCAGATGGAAGTTCAAAAGCAATTGCATGACCAACTCGAGGTAAAACCGATTGCACTTTCAGTTCAGCAAAAGAAATAATAGTACTCAAGATTTGTTATCATAACCAATCATGTATATTGATCAACGTGCAGGTGCAACGGGTGCTTCAGCTACGAATAGAAGAGCATGCTAAATACTTGGAAAAGATGATGGAAGAACAATTCAAAACCAGGAGGCTAATTTCTTCTTCTTCTTCTTGTCAGACACCGTTATCAGCTAGTGATGACTCTGTACCAGAGTCTCAAAACATGTCCAAAACCGAAGCATCTACGCCTCAGCCGTCATCATCTGCAAAGAACAAAGCTTCTGAAACCGAAGACGATAAATGTGAATCCCCTCAGAAACGTCGCAGGCTTGAGAACGAAGCTGAGTCTGAGGTTCCTAAGAGTTAGCAGAAACTTCAAGTTTGTAAATAGGTCTGTTTTGTGTAATTTGGTAAGAGGGGATGTTGGTGACTACTCAAAGTAAGATGTTTGTAATGTAGATCTTTGTCGGACTCGTGTAAACTTAGTAAGGATTTTGAGGATGTTCCTTCCATTTGCTTGCTGAATCCAATTTGTTTGAAGATTCGTTCGTTTTAGTAATTATATGATTTTTTTTTTTTTGGATGGAAATTTGGACCCTTTTTCTTGTTTGCATTTTGCAATATAAAAATGAAGAGGGATGTTGAATACTCTCTTATGCGTTACAATTATTTACGGAATCATAATAACAAGCTCTTCACTTTCCCTCTTATGCGTTATCCACTTTGGGTTAATGAGAAAGAGAGGGAGACTACAATAAAGGGATGGACCTTCATGTATACAATTATTTAAGGAATCATAACAAGTTCTTCACTTTCCCTCTCCCTCTTAGGAAACGGAGGGAGTAAACAAGGGTTTCGTTCCTCTTCCGGCTTTCGTTCCTCTCCTGTTATCCGTCCCGACGCTCGACTAGCTTGAACTCAGCCACTCAGGTAAACTCTCATCGCGTTCCAAGTAGATAACAATGACTTTGTTTTTGTTTTGGTGGTTCTCGTCTGTATAAAGTTGCTTGCTTTGCTCTTTTTCTTATCAGTATGGGGTTTAAGGGTCGATTTTTTTCTGACTGATGATGAATAATTTCGACATGGTCGATCATTTTTGTATTACCGTTTGCTGGTTCCTTGAGCATTATGGCCGGTCTTTCCGTCATTGTTAGGCTTAAAGTTTCGTTTTTTATCTTCCCGGTGACTTGTGAGAATCAAAATATGCCTCTAACCTTGATTCGCTCTCTGTGTTTTCTGAATCAGGTGAATCTTTGAACGGTCGATACATTCGTCATGGACATTCATGAGCACGGAGTTATGGTAGACAAGAAGAAAAATCGGGTTAAATGCAAACACTGTGGAAAAGAAATGTCTGGCTTGAATCGTCTGAAATGTCACTTGGGTAGTGTAGGTACAGATGTAACTCCCTGTGTAAAAGTTACAGATACTGTCAGAGAGGCTTTTCATAAGATGCTTATGGAGGAAAGATCTAGTGTTACTGCTGCTAAGACTAAGAGAGTTGGGGAAGTCCAAATGGGTAAAGCTCGTAAGCGTGGAAGAAGAGAAGATTCATCCAGCAAAGGTGTTTCTCCTGAGAAGGGGAATGCAGGCGTGAAGGCTACTAAACAGGATTTGTGTTCAAACAAAGCTCAAAAGTTGATTGGTCGGTGCTCTAATGAAAATCGTCTCGACTTTTCAGCTGTGGGTTCCCCAGGCTTCGGAGAAATAATGACTTTCAGCGGTGGTAAGATCCCTGATTTAAACGGAAGGATGCTTCAAGAAGCGTTGAAGGAAGTGCAGGGTCACGTGAGGAAGATCAAAGAATCGTGGGAGATCACAGGTTGTAGCATCTTGCTGGATGCTTGGGTTGACCAGAATGGCCATGATCTGATTACTTTTGTTGCAGATTGTCCAGCAGGTCCAGTGTATCTGAAGTCCTTTGATGTTTCAGATATTAAACATGAAGTCACCGCCTTAACGTCGCTTGTATCTGGGCTTGTTGAGGAAGCTGGAGTGCATAACGTGATTCAAATCATTGCACCTGCAACCTCTGGCTGGGTTGGTGAGCTAGGCAAGTCTTTTGTGAGTAACAACGAAAACGTTTTATGGTCCGTGAGCGTATCCCACTGCTTCGAGCTTATGCTGGTGAAGATTGCGGAATTGCATTCCCTTGCAGACATAGTTGACAGAGTCAATCAGATCACAGAGTTCGTCAACAACAACGCTTTGGTTCTGAAGCTTATCAGAGATCAGTCTCATGGAACAGGCATGGCCGTCTCTTCCTCCGAGTATGAGTTTGTTTTGCCGTATCTATCTCTAGAGAGTATATTCAAGTCGAAGAACCACTTGGAAGCCATCTGTGCTTCATCCGATTGGAAGAAAGATGAGGTCATAACAATATCCAAATCGGTGAAGGATTCGTCTTTTTGGGAAACTGTTGAGAGAGTTGTGAAATCCACATCTCCTCTGGTTCACGGTCTACTCTTGTTTTCTACTGCCAACAATCAGCAAGTTGGATATATTTATGACAGTATGGATGGCATAAAGGAGAATATAGCGAATGAATTTGATGGCGAGAAGCTGTCTTACAAGCCGGTATGGAATGTGATTGATGCTGTCTGGAACAACCACCTTCACAGTCCTCTTCATGCTGCCGGTTACTATCTGAACCCGGCTGCTTTCTACTCAACTGATTTCCAGTCTGATCCAGAAGTTACCACTGGTCTCATCTCATCTCTGGTCCGTTTGGTAAAAGAGTGTCACGTCCAAGCTAAAATTGCCACACAGCTTGAAATGTACACACTTGGTAAAGGTAGCTTTGACGAGGCCAGCCAAGCTGATCAGTTCTCTGAAATCGCTCCAGGTTTGTGACATCCTTGACTTTCGATATATAGTTGTATTGTTTTCAGACACTTGTGTAGATGAATCGCTGAGCAAAAGGTTTTGTCGTTTTTGGAATCTCTCTTTGCAGCTGAGTGGTGGGCTCAAAAGGCAAGCGAGCACCCAGAACTGCAGAGTTTCGCCATCAAGGTTCTGAGCCAGACATGTGATGGTGCTTCAAGGTACAAGCTGCAGAGAACAGTAGCAGAGAAGCTGCTGCTCACGGAAGGAATGAGCCATAGTGAGAAACAGCATTTGGAGGAGTTGGCGTTTGTTCATTACAATCTTCATCTACAAAGCTGCAAAGCCAAACTAAGCGAAGCTGCAAACCCAAACTAAGCGAAGAGCAGTGGAGAAACTGAGCTGCAAGATGATTGTATGGACTGACCTGTTGAGCAGCTTCTTCTTTTTTTTGTCAATGTGCTGATGTGCAGATTTTAGGTTTTTGTTTTTTTTGTATATTCAGCAAACCTCGTATTTTGAATTGGTCTAGTTCCCGCAAATCTTTTTTATATCTTTATACTTGAATCGGAGTTGGGATGAGACATGGGAGCAATGTTAAGAGCTGCAGGAGTAAGTTCAAATCAGACAAGAAATCCCCTAAACAAGTCTGAGTGTCATAATGTTTTAAGAAAATGATATTTTTGAATGTGTAACTTCAACGCAGCGTTGCCTCCTTAATGCGTTTTATGACTTTTATCTTTTTTGGTTAGCGAAAAAGAGAGAGACTACAATAAGGAAATGGACCTTGTAGTAATTTACCGAGGCAAAAACAAGTTCTTCTTCACTTCACTTTCCCTCTCTCTCGGGACAAAAGAAAGAAAGAGAAAGCCAAGGGTTTTGTTATCTGACTCGAAGCTTTGACTCGCTTTGACTCGCTTTGACTCGCTTTGACTCGGGTGTTCTCTCATCGCGTCCCAAGAAGCAAATAACAATGAGTTTGTCTTGTGCTTTGGTCGTAGAGTTCTCATCTGTTAAAAAGTCGGTTGCTTTTGACCTTCTTTGGCACCATGGTGGCATGTTTGAAGCGCTACGGTCGATTTTTCAGACTGATTTCTAGAAAATATATTCGATAATCTCTTTTGTTTGACTCGTTTGCTAGTTGCTTGACCATTATGGCCATTTTTCGTTCTTGTATGTTAAAAATTCCTTTTTTCTCCGTCCATGAACATGAATGATTTCAACCTAATGCTTCCAAGTCTGATTCATTCCGTGTGTTTCTGAATTAGATAATCTTTGAATGGTTGCTGCTTTCATGGACATTCGTGAGCATGGAATTTGGGTGGACAAGAAGAAAGATCGGGTTAAATGCAATTACTGTGGGAAAGAAATGAGTGGCTTCAAGCGTCTGAAATTTCACTTGGCTGGTATACGCGGATATGTAACTCCCTGTGAACAAGTCACTGATACTGTTAGAGAGACGTTTCATAAGATGATTGAAACATCTGGTCAAAAGCGTGGTAGAAGCCAAGATTCATCCAGCCAAAGTGTTTCTCCTGAGAACGGGGATACAGGTGTGGCAACTGATAAACAGGATTTGTTGTCAAGCAAAGCCCACAAGAAGTGCATTGGTCGGTTCTTTTATGAGAATTTTGTCGACTTTTCAGCTGTGGATTCACCAAGTTTCAAAGCAATGATGACTGTAGGTTGTGGTGAGATGCGGCTTAAGATCCCTGATCCTCGTGATATAAACGGATGGATGCTCCAAGATGCGCTGAGGGAAGTGCAGGATCATGTGAAGAGGATCAAAGACTCGTGGGCGGTCACTGGTTGCAGCATCTTGTTGGATGCTTGGGTTGACCAGAACGGCCGTTATCTGGTTTCTTTCCTTGCAGACTCTCCAGCGGGTCCAGTGTATCTGAGTTCCTTTGATGTCTCGGATATTAAACATGATGTCACTGCCTTGAGGTCGCTATTAGATGGGCTAATTGATGAAGTCGGAGTGCACAACGTGATTCAGATTATTGCATCTTCAGCTTCTGGTTGGGTTGCTGAATTAGGCGAGTCTTATTCACGTACCAAGCAAGGAGTTTTCTGGTCTGTGAGTGTTTCTCACTGCTTCGAGCTTATGCTGATGAAGATTGCGGAATTACATTCCCTTGGAGACGTACTTGACAAACTCAAGAAGGTTACAGAGTTCGTCAACAACAATCCCTTGGTTTTGAAGCTTGACAGAGATCACAGTCATGGAACAGACGTCACTGTCTGCTCCTCAGAGTTTGAGTTTGTTATGCCGTATCTAACTCTAAAGAGTATGTTCAAGGCGAAGAACCACTTGGCAGCCATGTTTGCTTCATCTGATTGGAACGAAGAAGAAGAAGACATAACAATCTTCAAATTGGTGAAAGATTCATCCTTTTGGGAAACTGTTGAGAGAGTTCTGAAATGCACATCTCCCCTCATCAACGGTCTACTCTGGTTTTTTACTGCCAACAATCAGCATGTCGGAAATATCTATGACACTATGGATGTCATAAAGGAGAGTATCGCCAATGAATTTGATGGCGAGGAACTATGTTACAAGCCGGTATGGGATGTGATTGATGATGTCTGGGGCAAGCACCTTCACATTCCTCTTCATGCTGCCGGTTACTTTCTGAACCCGGCTGCTTTCTACTCAAGTGATTTTTATCTTGATTCAGACGTTGCCACTGGTCTCATCTCCTCTCTGGTTCTTTTGGTGAAAGAATGTCCCATCCAAGCTAAAATTTCCACACAGCTTGATATCTACAGACTCGGTGAAGATTGTTTTTACGAGGCCAGTCAAGCTGATCAGATCTCTGGAATTTCTCCAGGTGTGTGAGCTTGTTGACTTTTGATATACTTGTTTCCTTTTCAGACACTTGTGTAGTTGAATCGGTGAGCAAAGGTTTTTTTTTTTGTCGTTTCTTGAATCTCTCTTTGCAGCTGAGTGGTGGGCTCAAAATGCAAGTCAGCATCCAGAACTGCAGAGTTTTTCCGTTAAGATTCTGAGCCAAACATGTGAAGGAGCTTCAAGGTACAAGTTGAAGAGAAGTGCTGCAGAAAAGCTGCTGCTCACTAGAGGAATGAGCCATGGCGAGAAACAGCATCTGGGAGAGTTGGCGTTTGTTCATTACAATCTTCATCTACAAAGCTGCAAAGCCAAACTAAGTGAAGAGACTGTGCTGCAAGATGTTTCTATGGACTGACCCCTTCAGCTTTTTTTGTCAATGTACAGTTTTTAGTTTTTTTTTTGTAGTGTAGATCTTTGTCGGACACTTTGTAAAACCTCCTAAGGATCTTGAGGTTTAGAATCCAACTTGTCTGAGGATTCTTTCATTTAGGTTTATGAAACAAAAAGGTTGAAAATTTGAACATTTTTTTTCCCGTCTGCTTAGATCAAAATGAGCTCAAGGCCTTGCATATACTTTCCAATGTCAAAGAAGTGAAGGATTCTGTTTCCATGAGAAGACTCATTAAAGTCTACTGCGTTTTGTTTGTTTTGGTTAATAAAATGACAAAGAGAGGGAGAGAGACTACCATAAGGATATGGACCTTCATGTATACAATCATTTACGAAGGCAAACCAAGTTTCTTCACTTCCCTCTCGCTTTCTCGGAAAAGAGAGAACAAGGGTTTCCGATTTTCCGAGTCTCCTGGTATCCGACTCAGCCAATCGGGTATTCCTTTGGGTGGGTTCTCTCATCTGTGAAGAAAAGTTGTTTGCTTTTGATCTTCTGTGTCACCATTGAGGCACGTTTGGAGCGTTAGGGTCGATTATTCTGACTGCTTTAGATAATGTATATTGTCTACCCAATTTCGTTTGCTGATTGCTTGAACATTATGGCCGTTTTTTCGTCCTTTTAGCTTAATGTTTCGTTTTTTCTTCTCTCTCTCTCCATGAACATGAATGGTTTCGATTACTCTGAAATCAAGTTCGGGAATCTGTTATTCTGTGTCAAATTAAGTCCATTTCAAAATTTGATGTTGATGCACGTTCCTGTTGTTTTTTTTTTTTTTTTGCTTTTTGGTTGCCAAAGATGTTCCTGTTTGTTTCGCAAACTATTATATTGGGCAGTGATCTGAATTGTGAGAATTGAAAAAGAAAAATGCTTCCAAGTCTGATTCATTCTATTGCATTTTCTGCATTAGATGAATCTTTCAATGGACATTCGTGAGCATGGAAGTTGGGTGGACAAGAAGAAAGATCGGGTTAAATGCAACTACTGTGGGAAAGAAATGAGAGGCTTCGATCGTCTGAAGTTTCACTTGGCTGGTGTACGTGGTGGACATGTAACTCCCTGTGAGCAAGTCACAGATACTGTTAGAGAGACGTTTCGTAAGATGGTTATGGAGGAAACATCTAGTGCTGCTGCTAACAACAGAGTTGACAAAGTCCAAATGGGTAACTCTGGTTCGCTCTCTGTGTTTTCTGGATTAGGTGAATCTTTGACAGCCGATACCTTCGTCATGGACATTTATGATCACGGAGTTATTGTAAACAAGAAGAGAAGACGGGTTAAATGCAAACACTGTGGGAAAGACATGTTTGGCCTGCATCGGCTGAAACGTCACTTGGGTGGTGTAGGCACAGATGTAACTTCCTGTGAAAAAGTTACATTTACAGTTAGAGAGGCGTTTCAAAAGATGGTTATGGAGGAAAGATCTAGTGTTGCTGCTGCTGCTAAGACTGAGAGAGTTGGGGAAGTCCAAAAGGGTAATGCTCATAAGCGTGGAAGAAGAGAAGCTTCATCCAGCAAAAGTGTTTCTCCTGAGAATGGGAATGCATGCGTGGAGGCTACAAAACAGGATTTGCGGTCAAACGGAGCTAAAAAGTGGATTGGTCGGTGCTCTAATGAAAATCGTTTCGACTTTTCAGCTGTTGGTTCCACAGGCTTCAGAGAAATGATGACTGTTAGTGGTGGTAAGATCCCTGATTCTTGTGATTTAAACGGAAGGATGCGTCAAGAAGCGTTGAAGGAAGTGCAAGATCACGTGAGGAAGATTAAAGACTCATGGGCGATCACAGGTTGTAGCATCTTGTTGGATGCTTGGGTTGACGAGAAAGGACGTGATCTGGTTACTTTTGTTGCAGATTGTCCAGCGGGTCCAGTGTATCTGATATCTTTGGATGTCTCAGAAATAAAAAGCAATAGCAACGCCTTGATATCACTAGTACATGGGCTTATTGATGAAGTTGGAATGCACAACGTGATTCAGATTATTGCATCTTCAGCTTCTGGTTGGGTTGGTGAATTAGGCGAGTCCTTTTCACGTAGCAAGGAGGGAATTTTCTGGTCTTTGAGTGTATCTCGCTGCTTTGAGTATATGCTATTGAAGATTGCGGAAATACATTCCCTTGGAGACATAGTTGACAAAGCCAATAAGATTACAGAGTTCGTCAACAAAAACTCCGTGGTTTTGAAGCTTGTCAGAGACCACAGTCATGGAACAGACATGACTGTCTCCTCCTCCGAGCTAAAGTTTGTTTCGCCCTATCTAACTCTAGAGAGTATGTTCAAGGCGAAGAACCACTTGGCAGACATGTTTGCTTCATCTGATTGGAACAAAGAAGAAGACATAACAATATCCGAATTGGTGAATGATTCCTCCTTTTGGGAAATTGTTGACAGAGTTCTGAAATCCACATCTCCCCTGATTCACGGTCTACTCTGGTTTTGTACTGCCAACAATCAGCATGTTGGAAATATCTATGAAACTATGGATGTCATAAAGGAGAATATAGCCAAGAAATTTAATCACGAGGAACTATGTTACAAGCCGGTATGGGATGTGATTGATGATGTCTGGAATAACTACCTTCACAGTCCTCTTCATGCTGCCGGTTACTTTCTGAACCCGACTGTGTTCTACTCAACTGATTTCCATCTTGATCAAGAAGTTGCCACGGGTCTTATCTCCTCTCTGGTCCATATTGTAAAAGAATGTGACATTCAAGTTAGAGTTGCCACGCAGCTTGATATGTACAGACTTGGTGAAGATTGCTTTAACGAGGCCAGTCAAGCTGATCAGATCACTGGAATCGCACCAGGTGTGTGAACTTCGTAACTTTTGATGTAGTTGTTTTGTATTCAGACACTTTTGTAGTTGAATCCGTGAGCTAATGATTTTTTTCGTTTCTGCAGCTGAGTGGTGGGCTCAGAAGGCGAGCAAGCACCAAGAGCTGCCGAGTTTTGCCATTAAGGTTTTGAGCCAGACATGTGAAGGTGCTTCAAGGTACAAGCTGGAGAGAAGCGTAGCAGAGAAGCTGCTGCTCACGGAAGGAATGAGCCATGGTGAGAAACAGCATTTGGAAGAGTTGGCGTTTGTTCATTACAATCTTCATCTACAAAGCTGCAAAGCCAAACTAAGTGAAGAGCAGTGAAGAGATTGTGCTGCAAGATGCCTTTATATATTAACTGATCCGTTCAGCATTTTTTAGCCAAATGTGCAGTTTTGAGCTTTGTAATGTGTATATTCAACAAAATTCATCTTTTGAATCAATGCCGGAGAATGAACCGAGCAGATATGTGCATTATATCGATCGATCACGCAGAAAAATGATCAACTTTTGTCTCTTTTATATTTCTTTATCCAAGACAAAGCTATTCACACTAAGCTTGTGACTCCAATGGTCACAAGCTTTAGACAATCTTGGGACTTAGACTGAGTAAGTTTTACCCAAATAAGATTCACATGTTTAAAATTGAGTTCGGCACAACAATCTTCATCTACAAAGCTAAACTAAGAGAAGAACACTCAAGAGATTGTGTGGCAGATAGATTGGCTTCAGCTTTTAGTCAATGTGCAGTTTTTTTATTTTGTAGTTTGTATATTCAGACTTCAAAGTACTTTACTTCAATGCTGGTGAATCGAGCAGAGATATTCGTATTAATGTATTATTGGTCTCACTCACACTCACGCAAAACAATGATCAACATTTTTCTGCTCCTTTAACCTACAAGTGATTTTTAAAGTGTAAAAAATTTGGAAAAATATACACAAGAATCTAACAGATTAAAGACAATAAAATCCTATGATTATGGTAAAACTAGACAAATATTTCAACACAAAGTAGCACCATGATTTTCTGGGAAAGTTGTTCTTTATTCGTTTCAAAATTCAAATACGAAGTTTCTTAAAAAAATCTGGAAATATCACAAATAGTCAAACAAAGAAAACAAAACCCAGAAAAGGGAATCAGGCTCCACTCACTAAGCTCTGACCAGAAAGCGACAAAAAAGTCTTTGTTTTTTTGAACATGCGTTATTTGCATGTGATTGGTAAAAAAAAAAACTATCTTCTCTTCTTTTTAGTTGAAATTCACTTTTCTATTTGAAATTATTGAGAAAGAGACGTCAAAATCCAAGCGCCCGTGTAGATTGAAACTAGTGTTTACACAGATTCTCTCCTCTGTTCAGTTCAACTGTATCTTTGTCTTCTACTCTGCCCAATTCCTCATTATTTAATTCATTATTGGATAATAATAAGAAGCATTAAATGATGACACAAACTTGACAAATTTTTGAATTTCAAATTGAGAAACTTTGGAAAATAAATAGAGGCTCTATGCTCTTAACGTGAAAGTGACACCTGGTACCCTAAGCCAGATAGATAGTGTAGTGTGGGAGAATCTAGCAGCATTTCAGAATAAGCTTCTTCTCGTTTCTCCAATCACAGAGTTCTTCTTCTCTCTATCTCTCTCGGATTCTTGAATATTCTCTTCCAGCCATTGGAAGAGCTAAAGAAATAAAAGGTTTGCTTTTGTTCCCACTGTTCCTTTCTCTTCTCTTCTCTCTGTTTCGAGTTTTTTTTTTTGTTGCAGAAAATTAGTGATTCAAAGTTTCAATCTTTCTTTCTTTTTGCTTCTGACCATTGATTTTGGTATATTCTTTAAGTCAATTAGAAAGATTTGTTCTTTAAGAGACCACTTGGTATGTCTATTAGGTTTGGGTCTTTAGCTTCTTCTTTCTTTCTATCTTCTCTTTTCATTAAAATTAATTTACATAATTACTGTTCTTTATAAGCAGAGAGTACATTCCAAGCTCAAAAATCTTATCTTTTGATCATTACACATTCTTTAAAAACTCCATCAAATCTAGAATTGCAGTGTTCAGAGATTGCAAGCTGGTTCTTGTGTTATCTCGAACGAATAACCGATTAACCTGTCAAAACCTTTCAATGTGAATTTGACCATGTGATAGGTTTCGCTGTCTGGTCGTTTTGAAAAGCACATGTTGCTGCGCTTATTTACTGTATTTATAATTAGATTTGTCCTTATTAGATGTTCACAGGTGTAACAGTGTCTTCTTCTGCCTCTTCATCTTGTACTTTGGACTACATGTGCTCAAGGAAACCCCATTATTAGTCTCCATAATTTGTCAAATATCTTGTGCTTAGTAGGCAACAACATTGGTCTTTTCCTCTAAATGGTATCTTATCTTCTCATTTATTGTGTGAATCTGGTTTGTGCAGGGGTTCTGTAATTTTAACTCTTTTGTACTTGAGAGAAGAAGCTGAAGTACATTTGTTTTGTTGGAGGAAGCTCATTATTTGGTTTTTATGGTAATAACTGCCAAACTCCAGAGCCTTAAGATGTATGACTCTCAAGTCTTGAAATCTAAGTAAGTATTACCATTTCTTCTTTCTTTTCTATGTCTCTTCAACTTCTGGATTTTTTATTTTCAAATCTCCTTACTATTTGAGTTGAATGTTTTCATCAGATCCAATCCATTTCTCCAAAGTTCCCGTTCGGTAAAAAAATTCTGGAGCAGAGAAATCAAGTCAGAGGTATGAACATACACTGGTTTTCATTTCCGAAACCATTTACAGATTTTACCTGTTGGATGAATTTCTACAGTTCTTGATAAACAACAAGAGCTTGCTTGCTTAATTTGTTATTACAGGGCATAGAAAGTTGCCAAGAGTCTACAAGCGGTGAATCTTTTCTATATAGATTTCAACTTGAAGAGGATGTGAGCTTCTGAACTCAATAAGAGTCTACATATTCTAATTACTTTGCGATGTTTATGACTTTAAAAGAAGTTTTATGTTGCAGGTAAAAAGATTGCAACTGAAACTCCAAGAGGAAATAGAGTTGCATACTTTTTTAGAGAGCGTCATGGAGAAAGATCCATGGGAGCTATCTTCTACTTGTAGTGTTCCACATCCTGTATGTTCCCTCAACTCGTGATATCGTTGTGATTGCATTATAAAACTTTCCGTTTTTGTTTCACTGATTGATGATGATTCTGAAAAAATTGGGCAGGCTCAAGAAATTCTTTCCAATATAGCCACGCTAGAGACTGCAGTCACAAAGCTCGAGCAAGAAATGATGTCACTGAATTTCCAACTTAGCCAAGAACGAAACGAGAGGAGACTCGCTGAATACCATTTGACGCATTCAGCTTCCCCATCAGTATGTATCCCCTTTGCAACTCATCATCGTTTATATTTTTTGTGATCTATATTTGTGTATAACTATGTCTTAGTTTTGCAGAATTCTTCTTCTTCCCTGAGATACTTGAATCATTCGGATTCTGAGTTACATCAATCACCAGATGATAGTCCATGTCAAGACCAAACAGTTCAAAACCAAGAATCTTCATCCGAATCATCTCCGGCAGAATCGACCGTTGAGGTATAATAAACTTATATTCTTCTTTCTTATAACCCTTAGAATAAACGTACATTATCTAACATTTTCAGACACTTAACCAGAAAACATTGGACCCAAATAATCAATTCCTCGAGAAGAGGCAAATGAGAAAGAGTAATGCGAGGAAGGTACCTCGAGGAATGCCACCTAAGTTCCTGTGGGATCACCCTAATCTACTGTCTGAAGAAATGGTGAAATGTATGAAGAACATCTTCATGTCTCTTGCTGATCCGACAGTATCTTCTAAAGCATCCTCAAACGAGAGCCAACTCTCACCGGTATCACCGCGCGGGCATCTATCAAGCTCAGCGTCCTGGTGGCCTTCAACAGAACGGTCAATGATCTCGTCATGGGTGCAAAGCCCTCAAATAGATATCCAAAACAACACCGATGTTTTGGCTACGGGAAATGTATTTGATCCTTATAGAGTTCGCGGGAAGTTAAGCTGGGCCGAGAATGGAAACTACAGTTTGGCGTCTGAGGTTTCTTGGATGTCTGTTGGGAAGAAACAGCTGGAATATGCTTCAGGAGCATTGAGGAAGTTCAGGTAATGGAGTTTCCTTTGACCTTAGTTTACGGATTCGTCAATCTAATTCTACTATTAAGACTCAACATACAAGACCATGGCTGATTCTTGATTCTGTGAATAGGACACTAGTGGAGCAACTGGCTAGAGTAAACCCAATTCATTTGAGCTGCAACGAGAAGCTAGCTTTCTGGATTAACCTTTATAACGCTTTGATCATGCATGTTAGTTCCCTTTGTCCTTTTTACTTATTCAAGAATCTTTTCTGAAATGAAATACATGCTTATGAGAGTTGTGGTCTTTTTCATATGTAGGCGTATTTGGCTTATGGTGTTCCAAGAAGCGACTTGAAGCTCTTCTCGTTGATGCAAAAGGTTATATCACTTGTTCTTCTCATCTATCTCATTTCTTTCCTCCTTTATCTTACTCCTTTATGTTTGCTCCACAGGCTGCCTATACGGTTGGAGGACACTCGTATACTGCGGCGACAATGGAGTATGTGATATTGAAGATGAAACCGCCTATGCACAGGCCACAAATTGTATATAAGCTTTTACTCATCTTCATCTTCGGTGTTCTTTTGTTTGCCTTTTTCAGAAAACCAGTTAACATTTACTCTGTTTTCTGATGTGCAGGCACTGCTTCTTGCTATCCACAAGCTGAAAGTATCAGAAGAACAACGCAAGGCAAGCATTGATACACATGAACCTCTTCTCGCATTTGCCCTAAGCTGTGGAATGTACTCTTCCCCTGCGGTAACTAACTTAACTATCTCCTTTTGTTTAGTATAAAGAAGTATGGAATGTTGAAGTCTAAAGATCGGAGACTTTTTTGAATCATGTTGCAGGTGAGGATCTACACAGCGAAAGGAGTGAAGGAAGAGCTACTAGAAGCTCAAAGGGACTTCATACAAGCATCGGTAGGGCTTAGCAGCAAAGGGAAGCTCTTGGTACCCAAAATGCTCCATTGTTACGCCAAGAGTTTGGTGGAGGATTCCAACTTAGGGGTCTGGATATCTAAGTACCTTCCGCCACATCAAGCAGCTTTTGTGGAACAATGCATCTCTCAGAGAAGACAAAGCCTTCTCGCCTCACGCAACTGCGGAATACTCCCCTTCGATTCTCGTTTCAGATATCTGTTTCTCCCCGACAACAGCAGCAACAACAACAACTCTGTGTAACAATAGCCTTTTGTAAAAGCTCTGTTTTGTTTGTAAAAAAGCCTAACCGACTTCATAAGAAACCAAAGAGCCAGAGGAAGCTGATTCATCATCTTGATGATCATTTGTTATCAGTGTACATTTTTAAAAATAAAAAATGAGAAAAGAAAGTTTTTCTTTGCATGAAACTATAATGTTGTTGAAAGTGTTGCAAAACTTCCAAAATGCCAAATTTGACATCAACAAATTCATACTAGAGATCTCCGGTAAGTGAAAGACTGTAACTGAAAACCCGCACATATAATAGAAATCAAGGATAATTTATTAGCTAGAATTGTCAAAAATGCTACATTTACAAAACCAAGGGAACAAAAACAGTGAATCAAGACCCAACAATTCAATAGGATTCGAGTTAAGAAGAAACATCAAAATTTGAATCAAAATTACAATTCACATATACACATGTCTACCTTAAGAATAATACATGTAAACAAATTATCTATGTACCTCCTTGTGGGACCTAAATTAGTAGCTGTGGCATCTGCGTATTTGCTCTTGAGCTCCCAATTTTTTTTCTTGACGAGCAAAAGGCACTAGAGGCACGAACCCTTGACCCCCACCAATTAGACAGAGAGATAAGATGTCTCTGTGGATCAGTCAGGAGTGGATGTTTCTGCATCGGCGGCTCTCTGCCGCACCATCTCCATCACTGCTGCTCTGCGTCTTGAATCTGCCTGTTGTTGCTTTCTACTAAAATGAGCTCTCAACTCTCTGTAAGAAAACCACATGTCAGATCATTTTAGTAAAACCATCGACTTGTTCAAGAAATAGTATTCTTCTGATCGAGGAACAGATTGCTTTCAAGCTGATTACATCACGTACCTGCATTTGGGTACTCTGCATTGGGGATCTCTGCAGTTTCGGGCGTGCAGTCGGAAGAGGCCCCACATTCTCTTACAATGGACGCAACCTCTGGAGTTCCTGCATGCAACACCATGCCTGAAGAGAAGCTTAATCATGCGACACCTTGGATACTGGCACTGTGCAGTGCAGCATGCCGGCACGTGCAACAGCAATTCTCTTAACTGCAGTTACCAACAAGCAAAACTTGTATTAGCTAATAAGGAAAAGGAGAAGCCAAGGGATGCAAAACCCGTTTGATAAATACCTGTGCGGTCTGGATTTGATTAGTTTGTGTGCTCTGTACAACAGAATCAGTCGCAGATGGACGGCTAGTGAGGCTATGTGGGTGGTTGATGCCTTTTGAGTAGCAGGCACTGCAAACTTCATAGTCAGGACAAGTTTCGCAACGCCAACCTTGAGCAGGTTCAAGCTCTTGCTGGCAGATGGCGCATACCGTTGCAAATGCAGGCACGGTTGGGTTGTGAAGATGATAGAGGATCATCATCGAGGAGTGTTTTGCCCGCCTTAGTGTGTCGTACTGATAGTGATTTCCTTGGCAAAGACTCAGGAAAGCTTGCCTAGTATCAAAGAACTCGCTCTCGAGGATGTCATCATTGTCTTTAATTTCTGTAGGAACGTCTTCAACGGCAATCTGCAGAGACCAAAACCTTGTCATTTTCCAAAGCCACCATGAAGAAAAACACAAATTTCTTAATGCTCTATCATCGTAGAAACTTACAGGATATAGTACATGCTTCTCCTTCTGATTGACAGGATGTTTCTCCTTTTCGAAACGGTTCTCTTCCACGTCATGACACCTGTCGTAAAAGAAAGCTCGTGAGACACAGCTAAAGAGTGTATATATCTTAGAATGTTCCAACGTGTCTTTTGGCTAGATATTTGTACAGTTTTTTTGGGAAATTTGAAATTGATATAATTATGTAAGTATCAAATGAATCAAAAGTGAGTCGACAAGTAGAACTTACTTGTCACAAATCTGAAAATTCTTACACTGGTTGCACACCCACCGATTTCCAGATACCATGAGAGTGCAACAGTGCTTGCAACAATGTTGTAAATGAACCATGATGAAATCTTCCTTCATTGGGAGGATGATCTCACCCAGCTACAGAGAAGAAAGAACAATCAAAAAGTTAAGGGACGATGATATTATCTCTTTCTTCAACAAAACATAACAGAGAGAGAGAGAGAAAAAAACTAGATCGAGCAAGATTATCAGTGTAACATTTCTAATGATAACAAGAAGAAAAGCTTACTTTATGCATTAGCAGGAGATCCTTCGAGGCATTGACAGAAAGGTCTAACTGACCTACTGCTTTGAGAGCCCTTTTCGAAATGACCTTTTTGGACATAACTTTTCTATTTGACTTTTTGCCATCTTCTTCTTGGGTCATTTGATCTATCAGATCCTCAGCTGCACCTGGCCAGTAGTCCCCATCGAAATATGGCAACCTTGCTGCTGTCACCTTAGCTCTACTTTCACCAGACTGGACGAAGAAATGGTCATAGAAGTTTGTACATTCAACAACCACTTTTTCTTTTGAAGCTTTCCTCAGCATTGCTAAATACCTGAAAACGAATGAGTATTATGGCATCACGATGCAATTTTTCTCTCTTGTACGTGAAAAAACAAAGTATTAACAAGAAAATATCAAATCCATACCATTCCCTTAGTTTGTCAGTCTTTGGCGTTTTCTGAATTTCAGGATGACAGTATAGAATGTAATCTTCGCCCTTGAGAGGTGGGCATGCCCATATATAGCAGCTTGAAAACCCACGTTTCTTACAGTAATCAAGATAACCAATCTGCAAACCCGAAAGAAAGGCCCATTGTTGATAAGGCTTGTGAAGCAACAAAGGAGCCTGAAAGAATCTGGGATCAGAAGAAAAGCGGCTTACCAGAATTTCGTGGTATACAAAAGTACGGAGAGCTTCTCCAGACACTGTTTTAACGTCAGGTCTGAAGTACTTAACGGAGTCCAGATAGGAAAGGTATACCCGCCGCTGATTGGGAGACGCAGAATCTGTTCCGAATTCCTGAACGTACATGCCAAACAAGCATACTTCAACGCCTTCAATCTTCTGAAACAACAGAATGGCCTGAGAGAAAGAAAAATACATAGTCGTTAGTATGGAAGCTCATTGTCAAGTAGAAGGACAGCATAATTATGAAATCAGAAAACAAATACGAACTAAGCATACACGAGCTATACCTTAGACTTATAAGGGAATTCCGATGAGTAATTGTCTTCGCGGAAAATGTCAAGGAAACGTGGCTTTACTTCTAATATTTTGTCAACAGATGCAACGACTCTGATAACAAGTGAGTCGGCTCCAGGGACCTGGTGTGTATATCAATAAAGAAGGAAACCAGATCGTTAGGAGCATTATAAGAGATAAGAACATATTAAGTGAATGTTCTTTACACTAGCGGCCATGAACTAGCTGTTTTGTATTCTTAACTGTGATGTGGCACAAAACACAAAAACAACCGGTCACGAGAAAGATGAGCACAAGATTTATCGGCAAAAGTTAATAAATCACCTCATCGTAGCTTTTTCCTTGATGTCTAGCTCTCTCTTGTCTTTCCTGCTTCAGTTTCTTGAACAACCGCTGTTCTAAATGGTTGCTAAGAGTACTGGCTGGCAAACTTTTCGCACCCAAAATTACACTTTGTGGTACTGGTTTCCTTTCTCCTTGTTCCACCTCTTGTATATAGCAATTAGGGCAAGTGTACTCGGCTTGCCCATGATTCCTACGGCCGTTGAACAAAGCACAAATTTGATGCTGCCATGCTTGACATTTATCGCATTGCACCCACTGCACATAATCATTTGTTCAGAAGAGAAGAATGAAAAAAAAAAAGAGTAAAGGAGCTAGTCGACATCAAATACGGATCCCTATAAAATAATTGCAGAATATCAATTGCTGAAGAGAGACGTACCGATTCTTCAACCTCTTCATCATTTTTCTTTTTCTCAAACCTCGACTTGGGGACAGGAGTTCCATCAACAGAAACTGTGTTCGTACGCGCTTCATTGTAGCAAGGAATGCAGACATAATGCCGTGACTCACCAGACATGACGGTATAGTGCATAGCATTTCTCTTGACACGTGCACCACAGGGTGTGCAATAAATAGGCGTTGGCTCAAATGCAAGCCTCTCAACCGCACATAACTGGCAAGAGTTTTCAGACATGGAGAGTCCCATTGCTTTATTTTTCTCTGCCTTGGTTTTACTCTGAAATAAAATTACAAAGAAAGAAAAACTAACATTACCAACGGATAAAGACATGTGCAACAGTGGGTTTTACCGTAAAAAAAACAATCTTTGCATCTAAAAGATTTGTCAGCTTACCTGGCCTACCCACTGACGAAGACCGCGGATATGCTCCTCTACTTGCTCTGGAGTGAACAGCTCAATCAGTGAGACTCCTTTGATCTTTGACTTTCCGCTATTAGACGCAGCTACAACGCTCGCAGAGTCTTCCAGTTTCTCTTCTTTGGGTGCGCTTATTTCTTTCATACATTTTGGTTTTTCTTGCTTTGGTAAACAAACTGTTTCACCATCCAATGAAGAAGAGTCTCCACCATGTCCTCTTCCCATGGGAGAATCTTTGCTAACCGGTTTCTCCACCTCACGCGAAACTGGAACAACTCTCCTCGAAGAGTCATAACTATCTGCGTTCATACGCACATCCGATCTAACAGTGTTGCAACCATCACTTTGTCGACTATATTTCTCTTGCAAACCCATTGAAAAATGGCCTTTACCGACACCAACGGATATTTTCGCTGGGATGCTGTGTGTGTCACGATACGCAAACTGGGAAGGTTTCTCTACTTTTAGACGTTTCGGAGAAGGTTGCAGATCATCAACAATAGATGGAGCTTCAGAGTCTCTTTCGCTAGAAGCAGACTCAAAGGATTCTTTGTGTCCGTGATTTAAACTGGCTAAGCTAGGCTCGGCCCTTCGGAGGAGGGCAATCTTTTCTTTTTCTTTCTCCTTGTAGTTTTTGACATAAACACAGACTGGGCAATCTTCATTCCCACAGTTCTTGTTATGATGAATCAATTTTCGGGTTTGAAGACAATATCGATAGGCGCAAGCAGGGGCCTCGCAGCAGTTGATATGTCTCAATAGCGTCTTGGCAGTGAAACAATACTTGCTTTCACAGCTATCTTCCGCTGCATTGCATTTGCGTACATGTAGCAGGAACAAAAGCCACCGCCTCTGATTTATATAACTTGAACCACGGTCTCCATTCAGCTGTTTACTCAAGGTGTTGCTTCCTTCTGGGAGCTGTGGCGCCTCCAAGGTGCTTCCAGGAGCAACAGTTTGGCAGTTTGTAAACGCTCTCGCAGAAGAAGTATCATTGGTAGCTTCATGCTTCATAGGCAATCTTGGACACAAGTTTACCCCAGAATGTTCTCTCTGTCCATTAGTATCTTTTGATATTTGTGTCAAGTTCTGAGAAGAGGAATGCCACTGACCCAGACCAGACACTGGCTGCACACCAACTGAGAGGTTACTCAAATCTTTCCATTGTGATATCTGCTGCGTCTGATGAGTTTGTGGTGGGAAAGATGGGGAAATATTTAGCTGGCTAGCTGCTGCACTCTGAGCACCAACATACTCGTCTTTGACAGCGTTCTGCTTGTACTGGTTCTGCGACTTGGATGGTTCAGCCTTATTTGTAGCCTGCAGCTGAAATGCTTCATTGTAGTATTCCATGCGAGGTTCAGGCTTAACTTGACTAGCAAAATTTGAAGCTAGCTGAGATTGACGATAAGCATTGTTCATTAATTGCTCCTGTTGCTGGTATTGACCATGATGAGCTGGCTGGTTGATCTGGTTTTCTAATGGTTGATGACTCACCTGAGCCAAATTTTCTTTAGAATTGGAAGAAGATTGGAAATTCCTATTCTCGAACTGTTGAAGCCGTTGAGGTTTCAGCAATGGAGTTTTTCCCACTGCGTGCAGGCTTGACTGATTACTAGCGAATGAAGCATCAACTCTCCGCATAGGATTCAGGCTCATTGAGTTCATATCCACAGCATTCTCCATGGAGCCAGATGATGTTTGACCTCCATAGAGATTCCCAGACCCAAAAGTATCAGAATTACCCATTGAGTATCCTTCACATGCAAAAAAAAAAATCAACTTGCAATTAGCATACCACTAAGAGTTAACATACTCGTAGCGCTAATGGGGACGATCAAGAGAGCATTGAAAATGAAATATCATAAGATAAAAGGATAATCAGAGATATTTACTGTGCACATGTGACACCTGCAACTGATCGACAGGCTGCTGCAAAGGTTGGGATGGAGTTGAAAAATGCGTGGAACCAAGGACCCCTTCAGAACCCCTTTGCCCATTACCAAAGTGTACATTGTTCCCGCTCATCGCTACACCACCATTTTGGGGAACATTGATCATCCCAGACGCATTCTGGTGCATATTTGACCTGAACCCACCTCCCAGCTGGTGATCAAGGTTGCTGTGCATACGGTCATTCGAACCAGCAGGGCGTTGCCTCTGCAGCTGAGATGGGTTTCCAAATTCAGACCCAACCGCCAGAAGCTTGCCGCCATCTCTTGAACTTTCTTCATTTCGATGAGACTGATATACATCAGCGTTAGCACTGTTGTTAAATCCAGGAGTAGGAATCATCTGGCCAGTGTCATCAGAACTAACTGAAAATTGCTGGCGACCATTAATTATTGAACCTGTCAAAAAATAAAGTGTACGTATAGAAGAATCAGGACAAGCTCTTTGTAGGGTCAAACATACAGGTATACGGTAGAATCTTACGTCGGATCTAACAGACATTTACCTCCATTCATGCGATTAGTTGACAATAGCCTTCCGGTTTCGACTGTTGCATCTGCAAAGTTACTACTATTACTATTGAAGTTGCTCATATCCACCATAGGCGTGGCCGTGTAACTTTGACCCCATCCCTGCGAAACCCCAGGCGTCTGAACCATCATACCGACCGAGCTTGAAGTATTAGGACGGCGCTGGCTTAAAAGTTGTTTCAGAGTAGATTCTATGCGAACCTCAAAACTTCTGAAATCCATGTACTCCTCCTGCGAAAAGAAAATGAACCATCAAGTGCGTTAAAAGCTTGTACGAATGATTCCATTTCTGGAACCAAAAAAGTACTATTTTTGACTACCTACGAGTATTGAACAAAATGTAACAATGAGAAGGATCAAAACTGGATGAGGAACCTTTGTCTTAGCCGTTCTCATCATCGCACTTTCTAACCGTTTTGCAATCTCGAATAGCTTTGCCTTTGAGGCATCGTCACTCTTTGAAGGCTGTCTCTGCAGTAACCAAGCGTAGCTGGAGGGAAAGGAGAAATCATGTACAAGTCAAAATAAGTAACCATTGACACAAACTCATTGCATTTCGATTGAGTAACAGAGCATAGGCAAGTAAATTGCAACAGAAAAAAACATTCTTACGTTCTGTGCAGCATCTCCTGCCGTAGTCTGTGATCCTCAACAGTTATGACATTAGGCTGAGAAGAAACACTGGAAGCAGGAACTGCAACAGAGTTCTGCATATGTCCTGGCTGAGGAACACTCCTGTTCTGTCCCTGGGCCATTGACACAGAGACTGTGGAGCTGATGCCCTGAATCACTGTTAATCTCTTTCCCGAGAAATGCAGAACTCAGGAATCACTCTGCCTTGCCAAAGACACTCGATCATCACCACCACGATGAGCTACACTCTATAATAATATTTTTTTAAAAGAATCAGATTGAGCTCGCAAATGCAATAACAGAAACAATACTATAGAACAATCAGTAGCAAAACGCAACACAATCCCAGTTACACCACCTCGTGAATTACGCCTGAAAAAAATGAACTTTAAAAAAAAAATTACCCATTAAACGAATCCATCCAGCTAAATCAGATTGGAAAAATTGTAGATTTTAACACCAACCCTAGCTCGATATCGAATCGATTAATGGGAGGAACAAAACAGAAACTTTAATTGGGAAAAAACCCTAAACCTGAAATCGGTAGGGGAAAATCGGCAATTCCAATCCGAGAAAAGCAATTCGCAATCAGACGACGAAGACGAAGGATCACAGCCGGAAAATCGATGCCCAAATTTGGGAAAAAGAAAACGGCGAAGGACAAAAGAAGGACGACGGAGAAGAAAGGTCGGATAATGACGGAGGTAACAAATATCTTTTTTTTTTTTGTCAACAACAAAAATATCCTTTTTTGGGCATAAAGGCGAATTTTTTTTATTACCGACCAATGCATAAATTCATGATTTGTGGAAAATTAACGGAACAGATTTTTTACGACAAAACTAAACAAAGCTTCAAATGGACAGAACAGAACACCCGCAGTTTTTACCCAATCAGATTCAGATGACCCCCAAGAGTTTTGTTTTCTCTCTCATCCACAAGTCAATCAATAAAGTCGAAAAGCCAAGTGGGAATTACTTATTAGTATTGGTTTTCTTTGAAGGCGGAAATTACCAGGAATTATCAAAATACTCAGTAATCATATGATTAATAATAATAATATCTTGTAGCTGTATATAGTTTACTTGTTTAGGGACGACCTGCCGCTTTTTGTATGTACAACTCTGGAACGGGACGCAGTTGCATAGTCAAATCGGTAAACGCGATCCAGTCCCGTGGTTAAAAAGTAGATAACGGAGTATTTCCACTTGAAGTTTGTTTCTTCGGATTTATCGAACAACAAGTTATTACTGAAAAAAATCTTTAAAAAACTGTTTTCGAATCACATAAAATTTAATGATTTTATTTAATGTCATAAAAGGATTTTAAGTTCTTAGAATTATTTTATTTAAGTCATTTTCATTCGATGGCTTCTCTTTTAGAAATGTTAGTCTGCTATGAATCGCTGGGTGAAATATAAATATAGATGCGTGTGTGCTAGTACAATAGTTTACACAAAAGGGGTGATCAATTAATGTTTCCAATCGTAAATGTATGATTCATATATATATAGATTTCTGGTAATGATGATCAATAATTCCAAGCATGATGGCTTGGGATGCCAATGTCGGTTAATTGGCTCTCAGAGCTTCCTTCTCCGTGGCTCTGCGATTTTTCGGCGCTCTTGGTGAGCTGACTTAGCAAAGCTCTGAGAACCATCTGATCAGAGGAAGGAGTAAACAACGGGTTGGGATTCTTGGAGACCAAACCGGATTGGTTAGTTTGGTTCTGTGACATATTGGAGAAGCAGGGCACTTGCTGATTCATGATGTGATGATGATGATCAAAGTTTATGTAAGAGTCCATTAATGCAGAGGCTGTTTCATCAGAGCAGCTTCTCATGTTGTTGTTCTCTCTGTCCACTTCGTTGCTGTTCTTGTGGAAAACTCTACACAATACCCATTCTTCCTGGTTTTATGTATAAATTTTTTAAAAAAAAATCAGAAAATAAATTTGTCAACAAAAATATTGTTAAAAGAGTAGATATTTGTGCCAAGTCAAATATCATATCTTAGGTAAGCCTTAAATGAATCTTTGTAAACTCGTCAGCAAAATCCCCTAAAAAGATCATTGAGAGTGGATGTGAAACAAAAGATAAAAGTCAAAACTTTTGCCATAATTCATGGGATAATATGATTGCGACGTACCCCGGCGCTTGATTCATGCTTATGTTTGATATTTTAAACTAAAGAAACATATAGTACAATCTAATAATTATTGAACCTTTGAGTGAGTCATCATGATCTTATAATAGGGTTCTCGAAAGTTCAAAACATCTAAGATGAATAAATAGAGTAATAATTACCTTGAGAGAATTAGGGGACTGGTGACGAGGCGTTCCTTGGAGACGAAACTCGTGCATGACCCAATCGGTTTTACGACCTTTGGGGGCTCGACCACGGTAAAACACAAGTGTCTTTCTCATGCCCACAAGTCCACCATTTCTTTGGATTGCTCTATCTTTGCCTGTGGCTTTCCAATAACCTGTGGCCGTAGCCCGGTTTGTTCTTTGCCCCGTTGCGTATTTCCTATCTTTTTGGCTGTAAAAATACCATTCTTTTCCTCCCACTCTCGCCGTTTCTGTACATTTGAAAATGACCTTTATATATTGAATATTTTATCATAATATATAAGAAGAAGTCTTTTCAGAATTGTCTTTATCTAAATGATATTTTCAATAATATCCAAATGATTTCTATCGACCCGCATCATATCTTAACTAACCAGGTTCTCAATTACCAAGCATCAAATAGGCATCCAACACGTGTGCGTGATTTCAAAAAAAAAAACTTAATATATACGTCTCAATGAGTGTATGACTAATCATTAATAATTGTGCAGTTAGATAGTCTTTTTCACGAGAAAATAGCAAAAAAAAATATAGTAATTTGCAGGTGGATCCCAAGTTGAACTTTGTTTCTCCTTGGTTTATCAACAAGTGGTGATCTTGTTCTCGGAATATGGAGGAAACAATAAACATATCATGTTGGCAACAATCAATATGAGTTAATAGCATGCTTTATTTACGATCGAATCGTTAACTAAACCATACGATTGATGAGAAAAAGGTTTTGTGTACACGCATGCATTTATATAAGCTTTATGGATCATTTAAATGAAAGTATGAGTACCAGAGATAGAAAAATAAACAAGAGAAGGAAAATCTACTTACGAGGAATGTCCCAAGGCTCGCACTTGTTGAGATCGACTTCGATCAAGACAACTGGTTGATAGAGGCTGCGAACGGTTCTTTTCATCAAGTAGTCGCAGACGAGTTCGTCGTCTCTCGGGTGGAATCTGAAGCCAGGAGGCAGGCTAGCCTCGACCATACTTATACTGCCCTTACTCTCATCCTTAGCCTCCATTTCTATCGATACCTAAAGATTTTGTTTACCTAGTGTTTATTATCATCTAATGATAGGTTAATATATCTGTGTAAAGAAGGCAGAGAGAGACAGAGGGAGATGGAGAAGAATTTGGGATTTTTTTTTTGCACGAGATATAGGAAAGAAGAACGGTGGTATAAATAATTAAGAAACCATAAAGTCAACTTCGATATATTGCATTATGTAAACATTTTTTTACAACCACCAATATTAATACTAAATGGCGAAGAAATTTATATACAGTTGAAATGGATGCGGCTTCTAGTTTATTTTTGGGTTTTCATAATCTAAGAATTACAGTATACTTTAGAGTCTTATTGAGCGTTTGATTTTCAAATTTTTTGAAAGCTTTGAGTTTGTTTTTTTTCTCGCTAACAACCAGCAAAACCTAAAACGAAACACTCAATGCTCGATATTTAACCCCATACATGCCTAAATGCTTTCAGATGAATATTATTATATGCTCAATTTCGTTACTAATTATAAATTGATCTTTGCTGTGTGAGATATTTAAAGAGATGCACCTTAAAAATGATAATTAACTCCATCGTAATTTTTGTGTAAACGATAGGGGCTCTAGGAAAATTATAAGTGCCGCCCACAAAAGCAGTAAATGTTTTTCTGAGCAAGCAAAAAAGTACATAAGTGATTACAAGTCGGACCATTTATAGTTTTACGATTGAAGTTACGTTTCGTTATGACATTGAGTTATCTGTTGTTGTCGCTTCTGACTTAAGGCAAGTAGATAAATCTATGGAAGCGATGATCGTACCAAACTTAACTATGAGAGACAAAACCATAGCTTTGACTTGCCTAAATTTCAATGCCACTTTAAAAAATTTGGAGGAAGACTAAAGAAAGAAACAGAAATCCATTTTATTTCGTTCAATGTTTGTACTTTTGAGTGAAAGTTGTCTGTTCTATTGAATTGGATGTACCGTAAATATTTCATCTTTGGAACATGTGAGTCTCCATACATATGCTACAGTATTATTTTTACACACATATTTGTACCACAAAATATAAATTTTTGTATTAAAGACTAATAGCGACGAAAGACATAAATTAGAACATATCATAAGATAGATATTCAAAATTCAAGAATAAATGATGATGAGAATGAATCATCGAAAATTTGCGTCACATGGTAAGAAATAAATCATACAAGTTTGAAATCATTTTGAAGGTTAAAATAGTTTCTATTGGTAGTAAGTAGTAACATCATATCTCTTAACAGATAGCACAGAGATTCTTAACGGCCGTGTGCAATAATGGTATTTGGTAGCGATCATAGACAGAGATGGACTGAATCAACTGAAATTTATTTTCATACGAGGAGATATTCTGAAACATAATCTAATATTCTCAGGATTTTACATCTCTAGAACAATCACAAAAACAAATTGTATATACAATCTTTTCGAGCATCTAACAATTAACTCTGGGGATGAAATATCAATCAATTTGGGTTTACACGACCTGAAGGTTAACCCGAAACGGTGGATCCAGTAAAAGAAGACACGTGTGTGCTGTATATGTGCGAATCTAAGCTGAGCTGTGTATATATTGCTTGTCTCTGTCATTGCCACTTCTCTACAAACCCTACGAGACCGCGAAAAAGCCCTCTCTCTCTCTTTCATACTCACTCTCTCTCTCTCTCTCGATATCGCCGGCAAATGGCGTCGGCTTGCGTTAAAAATGTTGGCACTTCGCCGAAGAAGTTGTCGACGGCGAGTTACTCTTGGAGAAGCTCCAAAATGTCAGTGATGAGCCAGGAGTCTCCACCATTGGATCCCCTGCTGGAAAACGAGGATCCTGTGGACTTTGAGTTTCTTCTCCAACATCCCGTCACAATGCTATCCGCCGACGAGCTTTTCTCCGACGGAAAGTTAGTCCCGCTCAAGTTTTCCGGTGCGTTTTCCGGCGCGAATGTTTCGGAGGAAAAGCCTATAGCGGCGGTTAACACGGCAACAACGAAACCGTGCCGAAGACTGGAGATGGAGATCTCCGGCGTCGATCCTTACCTTTTCTCTCCGAGAGCTCCTCGATGCACGGTGAGATGGCGTGAGCTTTTAGGCCTTAAGAGACTCGCCAAAACGCAAGAAGAAGCGTCCTCGTCGTCTTCCTCGCGGTTGTCTTCTTCTACTCCAAACCCCAAAACGGGATCGTTTAGGCATTTTCTAAACCGGGGCTCCAAATCCACCGCAGCATCTCCTTCTCCGCTGTCGACAAAGGACTCCGACATCTCGGAGACGTCAACGTCGATCTCCTCTTCCCGCCTCTCCCTCTCGTCGTCTTCTTCCTCCGGCCACGAGCTCGACGACCTTCCAAGACTATCTCTAGATCTCGACAAACCGGCCGCTCCAAACCCGTTCGCTCGGCCACGTGCCCACCACCACTTACGGAACCCGAGCCAGCCAAGGAAGCCACGACGCCATTCACCGGCTGATGAATCGACGGAGAGTATTGAGTCGAGAGGGTTAACGGTGACGGCGGATAGTCCGAGACTAAATGCTTCGGGGAAGATAGTGTTTCATGGACTCGCGAGAAGCTCAAGCAGTCCCGGTGACTTCACCGGCGGACCAAGGATGAAGCAGCACCATGGAATGCCGAGATCTCACTCCGCCAATGTCAGAATCACTCCTGTTCTCAATGTCCCTGTCTCTTCTCTCCGTGGTGGACCCAAATCGGGTCTCTTCTTCGGCCAGCTTTTCTCTTCCTCTTCTTCTTCTTCTACTTCTTCGTCCTCATCTTCAACGTCTGGAAACAGAGCTCTGTTGCAGAGCAAGAACCGTACCAATCGAACCAGACTTGAATCGACAAGCGAGCTCTAAGAACCGAACCGGACTATAATTGTACCGACTCTATTAGGTAACAGTTTCGGTTTAGAGGGTGTTCTTTCTCGCATTAGTTTTGTCAGGGCCATTTTCATAAGCTGAGATTATGTTTGGGTTTAGAATGTAAATAAGGTTAAATATTTGATTTTTCCATAATCTTCTCTTTTTAAAAAAAATTTAGATTAAACTTCATTAGAGCGAGTTGTTCGATACTGGGGAACGACCAGTCAGTCATTAATTACTGTAGCGAGAGTTAGAAGTGGTTCCCATGTTCAGAGATCGATTCCAAAGATATTACCACATGTTTAGATATTATTTAAAAGTTTTGACTCATTAGCAAAATGTACTTTAAACGTATATTTTGAGGTGTTTTGTATTTACACTTTAGGGAGCGACAGCTTTTGTTCCCTTAAGTTTTTTTATTAGCAAAAGTAATGATTTTGCATGTTAGAGACAATCCAAAATGCAAATCTTCTCCGTATCGGCTTAGTTCATCTACTACACCTGTTTAGTTATTTTTAATCAGTGTAATAATTTAAAGATCAAAAACTGTGATTGGTCATGCGTTGATCCAGATCAAGAATAACTACATATTCTATCTCCGGTTGCTTATGAATATATGTTTAAACCATGACAAGATGGTTTAGGAAAATATTTCTAATAGATTTGTAAGGATACTGAAAACAATTCAACTTGTTTATAACTAGAAAATTAGAGATAAACGCAACTGAGGGGCAAATTAGGGAATGGTCAAAGCGTGAAGAAAGATGTCAGTCATATGAGCTGCAATTTTTCGAGTAAATAAAGTTGGTTCCAATAATTTGTGTCTATATCTAAAAATACATCACACATAAAAAAGTTGTTCGTCATTCTCGAATACTGTGTTTTCAATCCCATCCGTTGGATTTTTCTTTCTTCCCCACATAAATTTAGTGACAACAACACATAATTACATACTATCAAAGAACAAAAACAGGGCTATAAATGTTGGGTTTATTTTATCATTGTTCCACTTTTTTTTATTAAATAAAAAAAAACACAAGTCTAGTATTTGAAACCCATCTGTGTTAGCTCAACTGATAGAAGCGTCTTAAATTTCATTAGAAAAAACAACCAAACTTTCCACCATTGTAGACATAACCAAAATATGAAGTACACTTAAGAGTCTTGGATTAATGCTAATCTTCGAAAAGATATAGATTCTTTTTCCACTAAAAATACTAATTTACAAAATAGGTAGTATTCCTATAAACGTATTTTCTTTTCACTTTAAAAAATGCTTATTTTTATAGTATAAGCATGTCGTTTGATTTAAAATTTAAATATGCCAAAGCAGAGTCCCAAACAAATTCTGCTACGGTCGTTTTGACTAGCTTTTGAATTTATCGGGACCCATCATCCTCTTGGTGATTATTCGGATTTTGGCTGCCATATATTCGACCAAAGTATGGAACGTACGTATATAACTACAGTATTAATCACTGATTACTACCAATAAAAAATGGAGAAATGCAACCACTTCTGTCTACATTGTAGATTGTACTCATGAATTCAAGGGATGTTATCACGGGTCACATTCTATCAAAAAATATGTTAAATAATGAAACTAGCTTGCTAGTTATATATGCCTTAAAAACACTAACATGAGTTTATGTAATTGTTTTTATCCTGGCTTAATTATTACATTTTCAAAATTTTACAGTACTAATCTGTATCAAGGGACAAATGTAGGGGAAAAAAACAAATATAAAATATGCTATCGTTTTGAATAAGGATTAGGAAATAAGAACAAAGTAGGGGAAATGAAAGAGAGAACGTGATTGTTCCCAGTCTTGCTCCCTCTGATAGATTCTCTATCTCGTATTTGATTCTCATGATGCTTTTATTCAGATGTCTCTTTGCTCTTTTCTATATATCTCTACATCTGTTATTTATTCATATCTATGCAATTATATTATAGGTAACGAGTCACGACAAGTAGCCTAAGTAGAAAGTGCCGACAAGAAAGGAGGAATTAGTTATAAAAATATACCATGTTTAGTATGTCAAATGGACATTATAACATGTTATATAGCTTTCACTTTTCGTAGAAAAAATAAGAAGACAAATACCAAAATCCAAAAATAGTTAATTAAATTTAAAACCCCTACAAAACCTAGCTAAGCTATTGTTATCATGTTGCTTCTGCGAGATTGATTACGCGATGAAAATATACATTATGAATTTATAATATGGTGGGATACACACTAGCCCACTCTATGAACTGGGACAATGCACGTCCTTATCCTAATCTGGCAACAAGTGTTAAACTGTTTATGGCGTGAGTGTGACAAAGACACAACTATAGGATTGCTATGTGTTATGAAAATCAAAATAGTAATAATTTAATTTGCATTAAATCAGGTTGGTGGTAGCCCCTCTCGTTTGACCGATATTATATGTACAACAGTATGATTAGTATACATTAGCATTTAGTGAATGTGAATGGAACAAAACAAAGGGGACATATATATTGGCTGCAGAGAAACGAGAGGGCAGCTTGAGCTGGGTTCTTAGCTGTTCGCTACAGTGAACCAAAATGCTACATTCAATAGTTAAAATTTATTGTTTGATTTAAACTGCACAGTGCATGTGAGGAATAGGAAGCAGCTAAAATACAAAAAAAAGGAAAAAGAAAAATTAATTAAAGAGTACGAAAAAAGAAGTGACAAAAATGTATATGTGATTGCAATGGGAATGAGGATGTAATGTGAGTTACTACTGTTAAAGTCAAAATTGGAAGTATGTGTTGATGTGTAAGAAGCAGCACTTTGTTTGTCTTTGTCTTTGTCTTCTCTCATATCTCTCTCTCTGTACATCTTACGTACCTTTTCTCTCCCATTTATTTCTCTTTACCTGCTTTCTAATTTAAAATCCATACATGGGCCTTAAACAAATCTTAGGCCCATTAAAAATATACAGGGCCTTGCCCAATTTAAGTAAGCGAAACGGAAAACCCTAGCTATATAATGATGATGTTGTGTAGAGCAGTGAACAGAGGGAGCATCTGAGTTCGGCGATTTAACAATGAGGGCGAAGGTACGATAATTTTCTCTGCGATCTGTTACGTTCTCTACGATTTTGCTGTTGGATTTATAGATTGTGTGATGTTGTTCTTCTATATGATGTTCTTTTAGATTTCTTTGTTAGTATGATGTATTTTGCATTTGATTCTCTTGCATATAGAGAGCAGATCGACCTAGATATGATTATTGGATCGAGCTTTTATCTGAGGAAAAAGTGGTAGTAAAACTTTGAATGAATGCTTGTTAGGTACAAAATAGGAATGGAATTGCTTATCGGTTTTGCATTTTTGCGCATCTTAGCTATAAGATTGATGATACTTTCACAAATTCCACTTTTGTTCTTCTCTATCTGTATAAGTTATGTTTAGAAGATTACGTTACAAGTTACAGTTCTTCATTTTGTCACTAGGGCTTGTCTTGTTTCGAACGAAAACAAACGGATTTGGATTGATTTCGTTGCTGTGCTTTTGATCATTTTGTGTGCAGTGGAAGAAGAAGCGCATGAGGAGACTCAAGAGGAAGCGCAGAAAGATGAGACAGAGATCCAAGTAGAGCCTTTATGTTTGGCCGTATCCCAAATCTCTGTGATTCCTTTCTAGTTTCTCTTGTTTAAGTTTCAGTTTTGAACCTTTATGTTACGTTAAGTTTAAACAATCGGTGATGTAGAACATGGTTACTTTTTTATTATTATAAAGCAGAGGTTTGAATATGTTCTGTTTATTGAAAGCTTGTGATTGAAAGTACAACATACAATGACTCTTCGAACTGCAAATTTAACGGGGGCTATCATCCGTACGCGTTCCGGTGATGTCCTTCACGTCACGGTGCATCTGCGACTGATCCCCTGTGGCTGCTGAAGCTGACTGATGTTTCCCCTTTTCGATACCTTGAGCGCTTGAAAACAGCTCTACAGGATCTGACTCTGCGATCTTGCCTCCCTCTAATGGTGTCCCATGTTTGTATCTTACTCGAATTGGCTCGTCTTCTGATAGCTTCGCTTGTGCCGTTGCGTAGCTGATGTCGTCCTTGTTCTTTGCCATCCCTTAGTGTTTTTAGGGACCACGACGACATGGCATGCGAAAGTATATATAAACGGGGAGGGTGGTACGACGTGTCCCTCTCCAGACTCTTGTGTTGGCTTACTTCTCCTTCTTCGTCTCTCTTTTGTTGACACGTTCTCATTATAGTTGCATTGCCGACAAAAAAACATGCATTTTCTTTGTGTCCCAAATCAATCTTTTGTTGGATTAAGATGAACTTTTTTAAATAGAATTAACAATATTTGGCGGGTTTCTAAAGGAAAATTGGGCTTCAAGATTATGTTGAATTAAGTGAAGAAATTAGTAGCAAATCCCTATATATTTATTAATTGAATAGTTAGAATTGAGACGTAGCACCTACCTTCTCGCTCCTCTTTTAATACCCTTGTTTTCTTTCTGAGTATGTTTCAAGTATCTTCTTCAAACAGCAAAAGAAAAGGTACAGAGAAAAGAGAGAGTGGCTCGAATAGGTTCGAATCAATGATGAAGAAGATGAGGTTGATGATGATCCTCAGGAGATGCAAGAGCGTGTCCACGCAACTGGGTCGTTCATATTCTTACACAAGTCTCAGATCCAAATCCGCCAGAAGAGATCCACAAGACCATCTCCATGACGTCGACCAAAGCCCTACTACACCCTCTTTGTACCAGACAGTGTTGGTCGGACGTACGAAGAAACCTTACTTGATCAGTAAGCAACACCTGAAGCACCCTCTACTCAACGCTCTTGTAGAAAAGCAACAGAGGTACGAAGAAGATGATAATGAAGATGGCAGTTGTATAATTACGGTCAAGTGTGAGGTCGTTTTGTTCGACCATCTCCTCTGGATGCTCGAAAATGGAGACCAGAGTCACATATTGGAGTCTCTAGATGACTTTGCCCATCTCTATCTCTCCCCTTGATTAGGTTTCACTTGTTCTTCTTTTGTTTTTCCCTTCAGTAACAAGTTTCAATTGTTTACGCATCATTTTAAACTTTGAATCCTGAAATATATGGTTGATCCGTAGGCTATCGAATGCTAATTTTTAACAAGACATCCTACCAAAGTGCTGTTTAATCAATTTATTTTTATTTCACTCGTTATCTTCTCGTGTACTTATTTATATACAAGATACTGGAGTATATCAATCAAACAAAATGTTAAATCAGAATCCTAAAATAAAAGGTTTCTTCTGCTGACATCAAATCCACTAACCCATAATTAAATACGACCAAAAGCGCTTTGTTCGTACAAAAAAGTTGGAAACTTTCTATTACTTAATTACTTCACCCATAAATCTTTTTGATAAAACAGAAATTTAGTTTTGTAATACAGAAAAGAAAAAGCTTGCAACTTTACTCTTTCCTTCCTCTGCAATTGAACTAACAAGTTCCATTCAACAAAACTTGCGTTTCAGTGGACTTATGGCTGCGGCTCGTACACTCCTACTACGATTTCGACAGTTGCAGAAAAATCACAACTTTCTAATTCGTGGAAACCGAGTTTTTGGGTATTGAGTAATTTGGGGTTTATAAATCCAGGTAAATCATCTTTTCACCGATCAGTATGTGGCACTCGTAGTGTTCTTTGCATCAATAGCCTTCAGATTCAAACTGTTTTTGTTCGTCTCTCTGATCATCATCAACGCCCCAAAATGCTTCCGATGTATGTGCCCAGATTGAATTTTTCTTTAGTGGTTCTCTTTAGCTTCTCTTATTACTTTTGTAGATGTGATTGCCAATCAAAACCCAAAAAAAAAGGTGAGATTTTGTGATTACTCGGGCAACAATGCATAAGTTAGGGTCAGCCGGTCAACACTGCGACTTCACGGCGGCGTCTTACTTCTCGTGGCCGACTTCGAGCAGGCTGAGCAACGCGGCGGAGGAAAGAGCCAACTATTTCTCAAACTTGCAGAAGGAGGAAGAGGAGGAAGATGACGTCTCTCCTGAGCCAGTCTCAACAGAGCCTAAAGGGCAACGAGCCACCACTTTGCTGGAGCTCATGACCATAAGAGCCTTCCACAGCAAGATCTTGCGCTGTTACAGTCTTGGAACCGCCATTGGGTTCCGGATACGAAGAGGGGTTCTCACTGATATCCCGGCGATCATTGTGTTTGTGTCTCGGAAAGTGCATAAGCAATGGTTAAGCCCTCTTCAGTGCCTTCCTACTGCTCTTGAGGTATACTTTGAATTGATAAATTGTGATGGCGTTGGAATACAAGTTGTGATTGTGAATGTGTGGTTCGGGGATTTGAATTAGGGAGCAGGAGGGATATGGTGTGATGTGGATGTGGTGGAGTTTTCGTATTTTGGAGAACCTGATCATCAGCCTACTCCTAAACAAACATTCACCACTGACATTGTTGATCATCTCCAAGGATCTGATCCCTTCATTGGATCAGGCTCTCAGGTATAATCTCACTCACTGTAATCTGGTGCTATGGAAATGGTTACAAAGTCGATAACTTTTTGTTTTCTCCTAACTTCAATCAGGTAGCTAGCCAGGAGACATGTGGGACTTTGGGGGCAATAGTTAGGAGTCAGACCGGAGGTAGGCAAGTCGGGTTCGTGACAAACCGCCATGTTGCTGTTAACTTAGACTACCCGAGCCAGAAGATGTTTCATCCTCTCCCTCCTGCCCTTGGTCCTGGAGTGTACCTTGGAGCGGTTGAGAGAGCCACTTCCTTCATCACGGATGATCTCTGGTTTGGCATTTTCGCTGGCACCAATCCAGGTTTTAAAACATCTCAGTTTTTTTTTAAGTTTAGTATTTGATAAAGCAGCAACTGCCCGCTGTAACCTTCAAATGTATTTTGCAGAGACGTTTGTGAGAGCAGACGGTGCATTCATCCCCTTTGCGGATGACTACGACTTGTCACGGGTCACAACTTCTGTCAAAGGTGGAGTAGGTGAGATTGGAGATGTCAAAGCCATAGAGCTACAGTCTCCAGTTGGCAGTTTAGTAGGGAAACAGGTGGTGAAAGTCGGGAGAAGCTCTGGCTTGACTACAGGAACCGTGCTGGCTTACGCATTGGAGTACAACGACGAGAGAGGAGTCTGCTTCCTCACTGATTTCCTCGTTGTTGGGGAGAACCATCGCAGTCCGTTTGATCTTGAAGGAGATAGCGGAAGCCTCATAGTGATGAAAGGAGAGGAGAAGGCAAGACCTATTGGGATCATATGGGGAGGCACTGGAAGCCGCGGGAGGCTGAAACTGAAAGTGGGTGAGTCTCCAGAGAGCTGGACCACTGGAGTTGACCTGGGAAGGCTTCTTACACATCTCCAGCTTGATCTCATCACCACCGATGAAGGGTTAAAAGGTTATAACAATTCCTTCTTTCTGTTCTGTTTTACTTGTTCAGCGTATAGAAGTTACAAAGACTTTTGTGTTTGTCTTGTTGTACTTGTTCAGCGGCAGTGCAAGAACAACGAGCTGCCTCAACAACGGGGATGAGCTCCATGGTTGCAGACTCATCACCTCCGTATGTGAATCTCAAGAGAGAGAAGAGAAGCCCAGAAGAGAAGTTAGAGGCATCGTTAGGACCTCTTCAGGTCCAACACATCGATCTTGAAGAGAGACTAGAGACAAACGGAGGTCCTCCGAGTGTGGAGCACCAGTTCATGCCGAGCTTCACCGGTCAATGTTCCGCGTCTGCCTGGCCTGAGACTGCTAAGGAGGATCTTGGTACCGGTTTTACGAATGCTGGCTGTGACGGGGATTTATGTGTAGGACTGCGTTTAGGGGACGATGGAGCTAAACGCAGACGCTCTGAAATGACCAAGGATAGAATGAGACCCGCCGAATAGACAAAACAAAAAAAAGGCTTATGGACTTTTGTCACCTTGAAGATTGATTTGTTTTTGCTCTTGCACACTTCCGTTGGAAGATTTGGATTGTATCTGTTGTTGTCAATATTCTTATGTCAATCAGACTTTGACAATAGACAATTGTAGCTTCAGTTTGATTTGGTTACACACCATTCTCTTTTCTTCGTATCATTGAAGTCCCAAAATAACAAGGATTTTTATGTTGAAAAGAAAAAATTTGGGCTATTAACAAAGAAATAAATTGTACATGAGGGGCTTCAGATAGTTTTTGAAATTGAAGAACAGACTACACAGAGTCGCACATTCATGAAAGCTTTGATTTTTCATCCCTCTTATTTTTGGCTCCTCCTCACGAATCAAATTCCCCATAGAGATTGGTTAAAGCTTTGATCTTTTGGTCTTACTCTTACTTTAGTCGTCCCTTGCGATTAAATCTGCTGAAGCTTACTTGTCCTACTATGGTAGGCGACGGTCAATTTTGATTCCTCTTTTGTCTCCAGATTCGAATTCGTAGCTTCTCTTCGAGTCGCCTCTAGGTTGTCGTGGTTGAAAGTTTCAGTTTTTGTTGTTGTTTATTGTCTCTGGGTAGCGAAAGAGGGTTTTGATTCCATATTTCCTTCTTCATCGAATCTCCTCGTTGAAGCTATATCTCTCCCGTAGAGATAAATGATTAATTTCTCTGTTGAACAATCGGACCTTACGGAAGCATCAGATGGGTTCTGCTTTCAGAAAATGTTCAACCTTTAAAGCTTGTGTCAGTTTTTGATTGCTTTAGGTAATTTTTTCTGGAATCTGGTGTATAGTTTGATGGCCGGAAATGGAATGCCTGCATTGGGTCGTGTTAAGGTCTGTGATCTAGCTCCTAGTGAAGGTCTACCTTCTGATTCTTACAAGTTAGCAGTGACTACATTATCTCAATCTCTAGCTCAGTACTCTGCAGCCATCATTCAGTTTCCTGCTAGCGATGCAGCTCTCCTTAGATCCGGTCTTGATTCCGCTAGGCTCTATTTTCACCAGAGAGATTCATATCCAGCGGCTAATAGCATGATCCACACTAATGATTCACGAGAATGGTGCAAGACCTCTGGCTACTACGCAGATCCTCAGTCGTGGCAAGAGAGCTACGAGTATAGACCTGGTTTGACCTTCACCGAGGCAACCAACTCTATGGAGTTCCCTCCATCTGGTTTGCCCGATATCTTTGCTTTACTAGGAAAAGCTGCTCGTGTGGTTCTTGATGCCATCGGTTTCTATTTGAACTTGAGAAGCTGTCCATTCACTGAGATTCTTGATAATGTCCCTTTGAGGAACGGTGAGATATCTTCCTCTGTGTTATCTGTTTGCTGTTATGCGAGGCCTTCGTTTCATGGAGCGCAGCACCATAACTTAACAGAAGAAGAGCAGCTTATCATGTATTCAGACCATGATCACCAGCTTGACAAGAGTCTGGTCTCGTTTGTGAAATCGGATAAGGCAGGGTTGCACATCAGGGATATGCACGGTCAGTGGATTTTAGTGGATGTGGATCTTGGTCCTCAAGAGGCTGTTGTGTATCCGGGGCTAGCTCTTTACCAGGCTACGGCGGGTTATGTGAGTCCTGCAGTGCACAGAACCGATCTAAACAGTATGCAAGGAAGTCTAGAAGGGAGGTTCTCGTTGGCCTTCAAACTCATGCCTAAATCAATGACCAATCTGAGCTGCTCGGAGATGAGAGCAGCAGGTCATGGTGTTGAAGCTCAGTTTCAGCTCCCGGTTTTAGTCGATGACTTCATGCAGAGATCTCACTCAAATGATGAGCTCTTTAACAGACAGACTTTGCAAAGCTTCAGTGTTCCTCAATCCCAGGATGGTATAAGAGTTTAACTGTCTTTAATCTTAACGCTTAATTGCCATCTCTGGTTTTTCGTAGAAGATAGAAGAAAGTTGTAGTTCCATAGTTTTTTTGCTCTGTTAAGTTACTGCTTAGTGGGAAGTTTTGATTAACTTCAGGTCCTTCCTTGGATCGATGGTACAGGATCTATGAAACAGCTGAAAAAGAGGAGGAAGAGCGATTCCAGATTAAAACCCTTACCACCATCGAAGCGGCTGAGGTTAGAAGCGCAGAGAGTTCTCAAGGAACGAGTACAGGAGATTGCAGATAAAAAAGGAATCAAACTCAGATTCTGCAACCTCAAGGAGTGCGAGAATAACCACAACGTAATGAACAGCCCTTGCGAGAGTATAAGAAGAGAGATTGGGTGGCCTCACGGGGTTCCATTTGTTCATCCTCACGACCTCCCAAACAAAGCCAAAATCGGGTTCCTTGAGACATATGAGCCAGGATGGTCTGAAACACATGACATGGAGCTCAGTCTCTCTGAAACAGCTCAGGGAAACCAGCATGTGACTAACTGTAACCATTCTTTTACCCAATAACTCATTTTCCTTTCACTGTAACTTAAGTTTCCGAGGTTAACAGCACTCACTGATTTAATTGCAGGAGATGAGAAGATGAGAGTTCATGTCTTGGTGTCTTGGTTTGCCTCCCTTGGCTGTTCAGGTCAGGTTTCAGGGTCAGTGGTTGCACATGCTGTGTTTGAAATATGGAACACCAGAGACGAGATAAAGCTCTCTGAATGGCTCTGATTATTTGATTCATTGTACATTGCATCTTTGTATGACATATCAAGTATAGCACGTTCTGGGATATTCTCATCTATGCACAAAAGCCATTTTTTCATATGGTAGCGTCCAGTGATTTTGTTGAATACGATTTGAGTTCTTTTCATTTGAAGATCGACTGAAAATATTTCTAATTGGCTAGATTACACATCTGAGAATCATAACAACATGAAGAAGAACCAGCCTTAAAACAGGATGGTCTAACTCTATTCTACAAAGAAATAAGAAAACATGTCCGAGATCTCCTGAGTGTTATTGGACCATCTTAGCCTGCAAAATTCATCATCCCCTCACGCCGAGAGGAACGTGCTGGACAAACAAAATGAAAATCTGGAAAGCCTTCTTGGTCAAGACTCAGGGAGTCCGTGAAGACAAACATCAACAGACTTCTTACAAACTGTTTCTGGAGCAGACAGTATCATCATCAGCTTCGTCGTGGTGGCTGATCTTCAAAGGGAAGTGGAATCGACATGGCATTCCCGTAGAAATCTTCCAAGTTATAGAAGGTTCTTTGTGGAGGTAAGAATATATGGACCACCACATCGCCTGAAAGCATACAATCAACATCAAAACCATGACAGATCAACCAGAAAACAGGACAGCAAAACAAGAAAGAAACTCACCAAAATCAACCAATGTCCATGCATTCGGCTTTACATCTCCATTAGCAACTCTCCCGTACTTCTTCTCAGCCAGGTCTCTCATCCTGGATCTGCATCCCCCGATTCATGATGAGAAACTCTGTTTAGTGGCAAGTGGAATGAACAGAGAGATACGAGTGAGCAAGTCTTAAAACAGATGTCTACCCGATTGCATCGATTTGAGGGCGTGAAAACGCAGTGGCTATGATGAAAAAACGAGTCCAGTAGACGAGAGGCTTCACAAAGAGGACCTTAATGTCTCCAGCTTTCACCTCACTCGCAACTTTGGCCAATTCAACAGCAACTGCAAGAATGGGTAACAACAACACATGATGGATCATCATCAAACACGCACATTCTCACATTGCTAAAGCCAAACAAGTCCAAAGATGTTGAATCAAGGCTTTCGCTTACATGCTAAACTTTCTGCGTCATCATCAACCTCGGCTGTTACAGACTTTTGATCATCGCTCCTATAAACAACTTTCCCGTATTTGTTGAACAACTCGTCGAACATCTCATCACTATCTTCACTTACATTCTGCACAAGGAAGTGTTACTATCATCTTCCAAAGTGTTAACAGAGTCAAACCAACTCAACTCAGAAATCAGTGAGTAACAAACAGTAACTCAGCACTTGTAACATTGCCAAAAATGTGAGAAGTAGAAATATTTAAACTACCAAACCATAAAGTTCCAATTTTTCATCGAGTTTCTCTGCAATCAAACAAATCTAAGATACCAAATTACTTGCTACAACAAACACAATTTATAGAGTTTGCTCGTACCGATAGAAACCCATCTTCAGCTTCCTTTCCCACAGCGAACCTCCGCGAGTTACTGACCGGTGTCAAAATTTTGCCTCCGGATAGTCGCCAACAGCAATTATATGGTGGCGATAGAACTTGGTTGTTGAGGCATGACAACGAAGAAGAAACTTTTCTGGGTATTGGAGACGATAATCGAAAGTCCCCGGCAAGCAGAGCTCCGGCGACGGTGAGACCGGTGGAAGATGCCATTTATCGCTGGTAAGCAGACAGACAGTTTCAAAAACTCTCGAGTAGATAAGAGATATTATCATTGATGTTGAAAGTTTAATTGGGCCTTGGATAACAGCGTAAACTCAAATTGGGCCTTGGCTCGAATGAGCCTGTTTTGTAGAGCCATTTCAGAGTCGAGAACTTCTTCTAAATTCCATATCCGAATGTTCTCTTTGATTAGTGTGAAACAACACTGTTTCAAATTGTAAAAAATCAAGCTAATCTCATTGGTTGGATTTTTCAGGCCAGCTTGTTGAGAATTGGAATAAATGAGATACGAAATTATCGAAAAGATAAGACTCGAAAAAAATGGGGTGGACCACTAAAAAGCATAGTTACTAGAGTTCCCAAATTGGTATAAATCATTGATCATATACAATTTTTTTTTTTTAAAATGTCGCATTCTATGATGCGTACATAACGCAGAGGGCCAAAAAACTCAAATGTCACAGTCTCACATAGGTCATATCCCACGGAATCAATCGATATAATTTATGAAAAAAGAAGGTAGCTACTAGACTCTAAGACAGACACACACATGTCTCTGCCTGTATATCTCAATAAATATATGTTTTATATAATTTATATGGAGCAAACAAGTTTGGTTGGGGAAGTGTGATGAATCGGACAAGTTAATGTAATTATAGAGCAAGAGAGGGACAATCCAAATAATACAAATGCACATCTACCTTCCTGTCAACGTTTTTATTATTATTTTCTCACCCTTTTTTCTGTACCATATTTATTTTGTGTCCATATATACAATTCTAACATTTTAATTTTGTTATATCACATCTACTCATACTAAACACATACTATTATTTTCAAAGATATTTGACATAGTAGATCCAGTGGTGCAATGTAATTGGAGATGAAGAGCCATTCATTTTTCTGCCGACCCTTTTTTTTTTGTTCTCTCTACACATTTTCATGCATTCTCTTAAAGTTGACAGTGAATTCACGTCTTCTCCTGGTCTCACATTTTTCTATATTAATTTCAAATTTATCTAAGCATTTTTTAATTTATTTGTAATCTGTATCCATCTATATGTATGTATTTAGAAAAGTTCAATCGTTTCTGTTTATATATATATGTGTAGTGGGTGGGAGGGTGAGATGATGATTCCTTATCTTCTTCACCCAAAGATTTTATTTAATATTTTCACCAGCCATATATGTTTAGCAATCCTTGGCAGCTAATTAACACGTTAGGTTATTAATTAAAAATGGCAAGTTTAGTCAAATTTGACCTATATATCGACAAGGGATAATATCATGATTCATATCTAACATGGAAAGTGAGATTAATTAGTTGTGGCATCTGATTCCAAAATGGAACGTTAACGTGGGGATGGGTCATAAGGATTAGGTGAAAGCATGAGTGATGATAATGGAGGGCTTTCTTTTATTTATATGCGTCCTCGATAATTACGGCCCCGTCTCGATCTACAAATTGCCTTGGATCCACGTAACGTGTGTAAGACTTGTAAATTCATTTTGATATCTTTGCTGCTCTCTACTGAATTATCACTTTATCAGATATATTAGGTGGGTCCACATGGCTGCATGAAATCGGGTGCAACGGTCAAAATTAATCGTCGATTATATAATCGCTGTGAGGAGTGGAAATAAGGTCCTAGTGTAGTGTGTATCCCATATAAGTAATTAGATGTTCATAAGTTGTTTTGCAAAAATGATTATATTAAGTGATTAGTTGTTGTCAAGTTTATGTGGTTTTTCTAGTAGATGTTTGAATTGGTTTTTTCCCCCTAAAGAACACATAATTTGCAAACTTATTCGCGGCTCAATTTGCGTTAGAAAACAACAATGGATCAAAGCTACATTTGTGGAAGTGTATAGTGGAAATCTACAAACTTGAAAACTGGATCCATTACTCTTATCGTAGGAATGCAAAATATATTTGGAATTTCATGTAGATGGGGGTAATAAAATAAGTGGAAACACATTATTGAGGTTTATGGATTATAATGACACAATGCTCCACTTATTCCAATACATGTGATGCCATCGCAAGCCGTATCGAATTCCTTGCTCAACCAACTTTTCTGATGCATTGCTTTCACGTATTTTGTGTTTATCGATATCTATATAGATGCGCATATTCTTTACCTTTTTTATATACACAGCTACACAATATATATGACGTTTATCAAGAATATATGGTAGAGGAACTTACGAACACTACAAAATATATTATGTATATAAGGATGGCGAAAACGAGATTCCCTCGTGAAAGGTATAATAAAGTTTGTTATATATACAAAATTAGAGGTACGATTATGTGTTTGTGTGTGTGACATTGAGATTCTCATTATGGTGAGCGGTTGAGATGATGTGAGGAAAATAATAGATCAACGACTTTTTAAGTTCGACTAAAGAAAAGGAAATAAAAAAGGAACTACTTTTATCAACTCAATGGAGTCATATGCCTTTGCCCTCAAAAGCAGGCACGCCAAAACCACTGACCTACATTTATATTCTTACTTCATTGTTTTATTTTTCTTACAAACCTAAAAGTAATTTTAGTACCTTTCAACTATTCGATATTTCTTTAATGATTTCTTCACACTGCACACCTCCTGATAAAGCAAAGCAATTGAATCATACGTTGAAATATGCACATAAGTACATTTGTATATCTGTCGAGAAAATAGCAGAGTCTGTGTACATATCTTTTTAATTTCCGTAGAAATTACAAAAACTTGAACCTATGTAAAATGAAATGGGCTTTTTTAAAGATAAGGAAACTAAAACCTTAATCTAACCTAAGAATATGAGATGAAGAAGAGCATGTGGATACCATTATAATTTTATAAGATTAAAATAGTTCAGACGTGAGACTCAATCAAACGAACCTCTTGTTTTCGAAGCTTTTTAATAGTTTAATCCCATGGGGGGGATATATCTCGTCTAATTATGACTCTTTAATTAATTAGTTTAACAAGGTATCTTAGAATGAGCCTCGACTTTTGATATTAGGCAACCTGTGTTTTCTTTATTATTTTTTTAACATTGAGTTGTCAGCGAAAAAAATGAGGAAAATAATTGTACGATGTCAGATCGGCCCAAATAATAATAATAAAATGCCTGATCATGATACGACTAAATGGTAAGATAATGTTCTGAAAAGCAGATGATGTAAAAGGCATGCCCATCTTAATGCGTTTGCTATGCTAATCTCGTGATTCTATGCCTCTCTTCATGCTCTAGCATTTCCAAGATAACTTAATTTATCTGCCGGTGGCTTTATATATATAAATGATAGTAGTGTGCAACAAATATAAATTAATCATAAACTGTAATAATTCGACATTAGTTTTTTTTCTCCATTGATTACATTTGATCACCGAAAGAAAACCAAGGTGTACACCCAAGCAAGAAAAAATCTGTAAATTCTTATAAATGAAAAAACTATGGAAAAGTGATTCATAAAAGTTAAACCTTCTGTGTGCATCTATTCCATATTAGCTATTTGATGACAGATTTTCAACGTAATCATTTGTCCGAAATGGTTTTGTTGAGTTTTCTTTGTGATCGAGAAAATGTCCATTTCATAAATAGTCAGACTCGATTATCAAACTAAACACAGTGCTGATAAGGAAACAAAGAATAGCTACTACTGAATATAAAACGTACGTTGAACTAAAGAACTAATTAGATGTCTAAGTCAAATGAACAAAACAATAATGGTGTTAAGAATCATATATACAGCTTTGACATGCGGTGAAAGCATCACTATAATAATGTCTACTACGTATTGATGTTTTAATTAGTATTTTATTTAGACGGATAAACACGTAAAAAATCAAAAAATGTAATATTAAAAATGTAAAAGACCACTTTTTCTAACCTACACAGATTTTTCTTTAAAGTACAAATTATTTCGGAGAGAACATATACCCATTTAATTCACCCACCTAGACGAAGTGTAGGACAACGCAAACACATCGTTCTATTCAGAAAAGAAAAATAGAGAAAGCCTTCATGAAACAGATATGTAAAACAAACAAAATAAACGTCACCAATTAATTTTTTATAGTAGGAGATTGTGAGTATACGCCAAACTAATAAGAGACTTATTAGCATTCCTATTAATGTGGGCAATGACACTAGTCGCAGAGGTTTACAGGACACGTGGCGGGATGCCAGGATAACAGACGTGGCAACGAGAACCATGAAAATAACAGACAAAAACATAATTAAGTAATTGTTAAAGAAAACAAAATTAGAAAGAGGTAAAGAAGCAGCGGTGGGTACACCGTACCTTTCTCAACGGCTGCATATTATTTTTTGTATTTTTTTTATAAAGATTTTCAAGTTTTTCTGTTTAATATTAAAAAACAAATTGAGAATAATGCCAAGCTGGCACTTCACACGTGCCCATGCGACCCTCGTATTCCGGCAACTCCATCACACGTGGACCATAGGTCCCACAGTTTAAGGGTTTGTCTTCTTTTACACGTGGCATAGTCAGTGACCGTCTGTTATCTAGTCCTCTGCCTCATTTACGGATTCTCCCCGTTGGAATCTAACGGGCTTGTCCATGTCTGTCCCAACGGATAAGGCACTCTCTCATTTTTTTTTGTATTTTTCCGTCTAAGTTGTATGAATAAAATAATTTTAACGATTTCCTTAATTTCTTCCGAGTCTGGATTTCAAATTCATGCATGCAAGGTAATTAATTCGGAATTTTTGAAATAAATCAATCTTCGTTACTGGCATGGTTTAAAATAAATTGAGATTTGATGTTGCTTAATGTGGAGATTTTTTGTTTAAAAATGATACGGCAATTAATAATTTAAGATAGTCACAAGACACACAACTCTTGTCACATGAGCCACCTCTTTTGTAGTACCATAAGTTTTGGCGTTTATATATTATGCACACATTCGCATTTACGTATGTATACATACAATGAATCTATCTACTTACACCAAACATTTTTGTTACCAATAGAGATTTATTAATTGTCAGTTTTGACCAGTAAAATTAAAGACGGAAGAAAAAAGGAAAGAGTTTAAAAGAGGAAGTTTAAAGTGAAAAAAAAAACCAAAGAAAGTAAAAGAGGCAGATATATAGATATCATGATTTTGACCGTAATTCTGAACCAAAGATTTTACAGCTGTCCTTGTCAAAGTTTTTTTCTCATGAAGAAACGCTGAAAAAGGCAACTTCTTTAATGGTCACTGGTCAGCCGGATAACCGAAGAATCCTCATGCTTAATGTTGTTGTTTTTTTTAATTTCTTTCTTTAATTATTAAAAAAACTATAGAAAACAACAAAACAACATTAAAGAAATTAAATAAAAAAAAAACATCACATCTTCCTCTCTGTTCTCTATAAATTAGCAGACAAGGATGTGTTGGGTGCTGCTTTGATATTTGTTTTTTAGTTTTTTCCCTCTCTGCGAAAACCGTAAATTAAAACCCCCCACAACCTCCCATTACTTCTTCTTCCATCTTTCGTTGCATTCACGTTTGTAGAGGTTTCTTTCTTGAATTTCTCCCATCAAATACCTTTTGAACCAGTTTCACTACTCTAAAACGTCGATGGCCGTTGAAGCTCACCATCTAAATCATCTCTTCTCTTCTAACAGGTACTTTTATGCTGTTTATCTCTCCTCTGTTTTTTTCTTTTCTTTTTCCTCCGGGGCTATTCAACAATCTTAACGTCGCGGGTTTGTATTTTCTTACAGCGAAATGATGCATCCCGTTGAAGCGAACGGTTTAGTCTATAACAACCAGATCAGATACGGCGCTGTGCAAGCCGCGACGATGCCGTTTAACCCCACCATGGAATGTCAAACTTCGCTGTTGAACCCAGTTTACAACATCTCACCTGTTGATTGTTTGGTTCATCAGTCTATGAAACCGAAGATCCAGTCCGTTGATAGTTCCGTCACGTTCAACAGCCCTGTATCGTCTTCGTCTCTGAGAAAACGTTCCAGAGAAGAATCAGTCGTTGCTAATCCTATCCCAAGCCAGAAACGTTGCACCGATCCTCTCATGTTCCTCGGCCAAGACTTGTCTTCTAGTGTCCAACACCACAACTTCGATATCGATCGCTTGATCTCTAATCACGTAAGTTAATATCATCGGACATTAAAGATAGTGTTTATTTATTTGTTTGACAAACAAAATAAAAGTTTTTTTTTATTTTTTATTTTCTCACAACGATTGATGGTTTATTATCAGGTCGAGATAATGAGAATGGAGATTGAACAGAGGAGAAAAACGCAAGGGAGGAAGATAATGGAAGCCATCGAACAAGGGTTGATGAAAACACTAAGAGCCAAAGACGAAGAGATCAACCACATCGGGAAACTAAACCTCTTTCTCGAAGAGAAGGTTAAGTCACTCTGCGTAGAGAATCAGATATGGCGTGACGTGGCACAGTCTAACGAAGCCACCGTAAACGCCCTCCGATCAAACCTACAGCAGGTACTCGCCGCCGTGGAACGCAACCGGTGGGCGGAGCCCACGGTGGCCGACGACGCGCAGTCTTGTTGCGGAAGCAACGACGAGGGTGATAGTGACGAGCGGTGGAGGATAGCGGGGGAAGCGCAGGATAAGAAGAGGATGCATACGACAACAAGGACGATGTGTAGGAGCTGTGGAAAAGGAGAAGCAAGTGTGTTACTGTTACCGTGCAGACACATGTGTCTGTGTACTGTGTGTGGATCTTCGCTTAACACTTGTCCAGTCTGTAAATCTCCAAAGAACGCTAGTCTCCATGTTAATCTTTCGTCTTGAAACTAACAATACCAGTAATTGTACATGTAGTAAATAGTAGTTGAAATAGTATCTATCAAATCTTTGGTTAAAAAAACTGTTCATTCTTTTAATTTTTGCGTTTCTTAATTTGGATGATAATGATGATGATGGAACACGAATCGTTGACACATGTGTCAGAGATATTGAAATTCGAAGGGGTTCACGAGGGTCCTCTGTTGCTATAAAAATCGTGGTTTAGGTTTATACCCACTTTCCAATGTCATTTCCCATCTTTGTGTGAAACTGCACCAAAAAAAGGGGCAAGTATTGTGGTTCAACTACTAGTCTTCTCTCCATATATCAACGTCACTTTATCACGGGATGGGTTTTCACTAACATATGCTTTTGTTGAATCGTTATTGTTTTTTGTGTTTTTCTAGAAATTTTATATTCGAGATGCCTCCCCAAAAAAAAAAAGTAAGTGGTCGAAATCGTGGGTTATGCGTGACAGACCATTAAACCAAAAGCAAAATAAAAAAAGCTATCAACTTTTCCTCTATAACCGAGGGAACTGATGCTAAAAGACTTAAGGAGTGGGTCAGTGTAAGTTAGCTTGTAGCAGATAATGCGCAAGTTAGAAAAGAGACAAAGGTTTTTGACTAGCCGTTAGGGAAATGGGCATTGCACTGGCGCGTGGGTTAATAACGGTGGCGGTAAATGGCAAAGACTGACGTGGAGGACGCGCGCAAATGTCGCTGAGCCAAAGAGTGGGTCCAACTTTTGTTACTTTCCAAAATTACCCTTATCCCGTTTATATTTTCTCGAGAGTAAAAACGAGAATTTGTAAAAAAAATTCGTAAAAGGTAAAGAGAGAGAGAGTCCAACAAAATCTCGTCTTCCGGTTTTGTCTGTTCCTCTTCTTCCGGCGTTTTTACTTCCCAAAACGGCTCTGTTACCAAATTATTATTCTAAAATAGTTTTATTGTTGCTTTAGTGAGATTTTATGTACGTAGCAAAAGCATATTTTCCTTTTGGACCAAAATATTCGAAATACTCGAGATAATGAAAAGGAGACATATCTATTGGAGGTAAAGTTATTCGTACGGTGGTGAAAACTGAAAAATTGATACGATAGGGTTTAAAAAGGTTTTGGATATGAAAGTAGTAGATGAAACGTATTAAAAAATCCCATGAACTGATAGATTAAGGGAAAGGAAAAAATGGAATTGGAGAATCGAGGCGCGTGAAATAAGACGCTTGCGTTGTCACTTTCAATATCGAAGAAACGCATATTTTTAAATTTAAATATTTAAGTATTTGACTGCCTCCATTCCACCCAACACAATCACCACCTCCTCTTCGTATTTAAAAATACCTCTTTTTGGTTATAAAATATTGAAATGTCAAATATTTGTTGATAATCATTCAATGCTATATCATGCAATCAACCACGGCATCATTAAGTAACCAGTTATTTATAAAGATTATGAAATTGAAGGAAGTTTGACTGGAGAATAATATATTAATGGTTAATGTAATTTAAGGTGAATGAGTTAAGACGCATGCACGTAAATGTAGTAGATGTGAAACTAGAGAGAGGCTTCAAGGAAGGAACCAAGATCGGGTTTGATTTTATTTTTTTAAGCATGTTAAATGTAGTTAGTTCACGTTCTCTTTCACGCTACAGCTTATTATGATTTGTCGATTCTACATCTTTTGAATGCAGAGTTCTTGAAACATTAAAAACAAATACATACTGAAACATTTATATCAATAGAAAGATATCGTATAAAATTCACCGCTAGAATAGCACTTTATCATTGATTATGTCGTATATATATAGTACATATAATTCGAGCTCTGAACTTATTTGTGGAATGGTCCCGGCTGAATCATCAACATTCACATTATTATTGCCGTCTCTTCACGCTATTTTTGTAATTTTGTGCTATTATTAACTTATTTTGTTGTTAATAGGAAACGGACGTTTTTCAATTGTGATCATCATCAAGTCACGTCAAAACAATTAGACGAGAGGTACAAATGAGTAATGTATTCACATCTTTCTTCTAACATACCATGCGACACCGACGCTATACGCAACTACGAACCACCACCACAGTATATTTTTTTTTTATGAGAAGAAAATATTTTATTGATAATAGTGATTATAATAGTACGATTTGGAGTGTGACAAAGTAAACTCGCGAATTGGTAATTGAAGGAGGACAAATGCTGAAAGGACACTGTCGGTAGAAAAAGAAGCTATTTTATTTAGGGAACAAATCTTAAAAGTGGAGTCCACAAGGACAAAGACAGAAAAGCCAAACTCGGCATTTAAAATCTCTTCTTCTAAACATTAAAACATTACACAAACACATCTACATCGCACCGCCGGGCCCACGCCTTGCTTTCCTCTTTATTTATTTATTTTAGATATAAAAAAATTAAACAAGATTTGGGCCGTTTCTGGGCCCACATTGGGGACCGTTTCTTCTTTATTTCCTCTTCTCCAACACGTGAATTTGATTCCACACTTGGAACTTTCCTCAACTTCCATTTAAATATCAAACATAACTCTCCATCCTACACGTTATATAGTATTCAAACCATCAGTTAATGTTAAATAGTTACCAAAAAGATAATGTATTATATAATACTGATATAACGTATGCTTCCAGGTGACATGCTGATATGTTAGAATTCCACGCAAATGTTGTATAGATCACATAGTTTTTTTTGAAACTCTAAAATAATTCTTTTATCACATAGTTTTTTTTTAAACTCTTAAAATAATTATTTTAATCATCAGTTGTGAAAATTAAGCTACATCGGCATGAAAGAGCTTCACCTTCTATGTTGTGTGAGTCACCTTCACCATCTGATAGAGTCACACATTGAACAATTAGGTTTCTTTTCTTTCTTTCTTTCTGAGATGAGCTTTCACTAAAGTCAAATACAATACAATAATTCTGGTGACACATTACACACACTATAGTAGACATGAATAGTATTAGAAAAAAATATTATTTAGATTTTCAAGTGGGGTCACGACGTAAAGTTATTCATTTTTGGACTTGATCATTCTATTTTTATTTTGTTTCTTTATGGATATCATCTTAGTCATCTTTTACTTTCAATGTAATCAGTAGTTCGATGAATGAATAAGGATTAATATATTCCACAACTTGGTTTTGTGGATTATCTAAGAAAAAGAAGAGAAGAAATTTCCATGGCAAAGACGGCACTAGAAAAGTTATATATATATACGAATTAATGTCATCATCATTTCAGAATTGATTGATTTGTGGGACGGTTTTTTCATTTGTTCTGTAGCCTAACCTCTAACAATCAACGTCCCTACTTCATTACTTATATAAAAATATATTAAAGCAATCAAATATGCTTTTAGACAAAAAACTTGGATGAGACTTCATATTCATAAATGGTGTACCATGTCAACCATGGACCAACGATGATATCGATGGCCTTCTTTCTTTATCTTTTCTTCTTTCTCACAACTCTTTAACAAATATTCTACCTTTCATACCAAAGTGGAACCCAACTTTCGGTTTCTATCAAAGTCGTCCATAGTCTCTGACGCAGTTAAGAAATTAATTTATTGTGTTTTGATGTTGATCGTTTATTTCCGTTGAAAACTGTTGCATTTGTCATGTATGTGATTGTTTATATATATATTTATACAAGTATCGATCAAATCATTACCAGAAGAATTGCGTGTTATCAGACTCTTATATTAACATAGATAATATATTAAGAATATCAATCTTAATAAGAAGAATAGTTGTTGTAAGTTTTTATATTGAGAAAAAGGTTTAGTAAAACACATAAAACTATGAGAGATTGGCGAGATAAAAATGGGCATATTATACTCATTTCTATACTCTATGTAGTATATCGTTCTCAAGTTTATGTCATTTGTATGATTGTATCAATTTGCTAACGCCACAAAATAGATAATTTCTTACTATTTCCTCTTCGTCAGGTCTTGGATCTATCAAATAGCAATCACAAACATTGTAGTGATAAATCTAACTGTGTTTTTGACTGGACAACAAAAAGATGAAGTTTGAAAAGAGATGTGAGAGGATATCAAGGGTTTAAAGTAAAAGGAGTAGCCTATACCACACTATTGCCACTTGGTCGCCTAATCCCTTTTTTTAATTTAATTTTGGGAGAATTAAATCTGTACCATATGCAAATATCATACTCTCACCCACTAAATGGCACAAAATATCAAAACACCATGTAGTTTAGATGAGAAGATATAATTAGAAGTTTATGTTTCTACCCGAGACAAAAAAAAACAATATATGGTTAAGACATGACACTGATATATTGGATAGGAACAAGACATGAACATTTCCGGGTAAAGATTGTACTTTCGTATGGATGAGAAAAGGTGAGGAAATAGTTTGGTTATTGTCCACATTAGGAAACCAACCACTAATATTTTTGTTTCCAACTATTAATTTCATGTATAGTTTTTTTAGTGGGGGCAAGTTGGAAAGTTTCTCACAATTTGAAATTTCAGTTTACAAAAATTGGAGCTTAGGGGTTATTGGTTCTTGTATTTTGGTAGATTTATAAATCTTCTTTGGATTTGATAAATTTATTGATTTCAAAATCAGCAAAATGGAAAAAAATCAAATCTACTCAAATACCAAGGTTAGACCTTGTATTTGGGTCTTTGTATTTTAGTCATGAAAATCCTTCTAAATCCATTCAAATTCAATTAAAACTCAAATTCTTATAATATTTAGATTCTAAAATGATAGAACCAATAACACTGTATTTCATTATGAATTTTAAAATCATAGAACCAATAACACTGTATTTCAATATAAATTTTAAAATACAAGAACCAATAACACTAAATTTGGTTTGGATTCTCAAATTTATTAAAATACAAGAACCAATAACACCTCCTAAAATTTACACAATTATTATAACACTTTTTGTAACCATATGAATTTCAAAACAAGAGTAAAGCAATGCAATGATGGTATGAAGAAGAATAAATTCGCAAGATAGAGAATTTGGTAAAGCTAGAAAAAAGGGTGATGGGAAAAACAAATTGTGCGTCGGCTACTTTTGTCAAAGGGAGAAAAATAGTAAAAGACAGAACTTAAGGTCGAAGATGACACTAAATTAAAAGATAGATAGCACGAACTCATAGTTATCCTATACACATGGAACAATATATATTTTTGGTTTATTAAAACAACACAAGGAATATCACTGTGGATTGTGATGATTTTATGCAAAATTTAAGATTCCAATGAGATTAATAATGATGATGAGTATAGTGGTGCAAGTAAGGAAGATAAATGATGTGAAGTGATGGATGAATGGTGTCCTCGGTGTCCAGCAGGCCAAGACAACAACACAACACGATTACTTAATTGAATCAAGAAAGCAAGTATGGACCCCATCCACCACAAAAATGGACCATAAAGACTCGAGTCCCTACAAAATCAAGATGCTTAAGTTGGATGATTGCGACACACTTTATTTCATCTGTAGGATCCAATCAATCGTATATTTTGTTTAATATCAACATTTTACAAGTTAGTGGGAAAACTAGTGCTTCTTACTTCGCAAGGCAATCATAATTAAGTTGTTCTTAAAATCCAAATTGTCACATGTCTCTATTACCTTCCACTATGTGGAGGCGATGACATGTTTACAGTTCAGCTGAAAAGTTTGGTTCATTTCATTCATTCATTACCAAGACAAAGGAGAAAAGAAGATGGATTGTAAATGGGCCGTAAGAAAGAGAGAAAATGGGGCACGCAAACAGACCTAAGAGTCCAATATGACTAGTTTCATTTCAGGCCCTAACAAAACCAAACAAATTGCATCGAGCATATGATTGAATGCATCGCAAGTCGAGACAGAAACTTATGGTTTAGCTGCAAGAACGTACTCAAACACCCAGAAAAAAGCAAGAGAACAATATATATTCTTGACAATGTCTATGAAAGAGTAAACAAAAAAACTAAACCGAGCCAAATACAACCCTAGATCAAAAAAGTAGGCTTTAAGCGAATTTAAGAGGAAGAAAGAGCAATCATAGATCGCTTATAGTTTGTCTTCAAAATCAGAGAGTGGAGTCATTTGTACCCTCAAACCTTTCCTCTTCCTGATATCAGCCACGAGTGTTGCCGCCTGCGAGCCCGTCTCGAGCGGGCCGGATGACATCATGTCCCAATGGTCAAAGACACACTGAGGAAAAGCTTGTCCTGATGTTGCAGCCCATAGCTGACTCGAAAACCCAAACGACTCAACGACGAGAAGGTAAGTCTTGATGTTGTAGAGAGGTGTTCCTGGCCTCTGAACTTCTTAAAACACGTGTCCACGTTTCTGATTCAGCACACCGTAGATTCCTCCAAGAGCTCCCTCAGGTGCTTGAATCTCAACCATGTAGACCGGCTCAAGAAGCCTGGGCTTAGCCGTGAGGTGTGATGCGTAAATGACTCTTCTGGCTGTGGAGATCATCTGACCACCACCTCTGTGTATCGCATCAGCATAAAGCACGACGTCGCAAACCTCATAACAGATCCCTCTCATGTGTTCTTCTGCCAACGGACCTTCCTTTGCAGCCCATTGGAATCCAGCAACCACCGAGTCCTTGATCTCATTCAAGTACTGACTCCTTTGCATATATCAACCACCATGTTAGGTCCAGTAGTGTCTAGTCCAAAAGCCCAGATTTTCTTGGCGAGATCCTTGTCCCAAGCAAACTCTTCTGCAAGGATCTTTGACCTGATCTTTGGGTCATCAGATGGACCGATGCGGCCGTCATCAATTGCTTCAGATAGACCTTCCTCCAGTGGTCTGGCTTCCATGTACAGACGATTGTGCTTGTTTGGGGACTTGCTCATCACAGTACGGCAAGATCTCTCGAGCACCGTCTCACACAAAGAGACCACATGATCTGACACTATGATATCAGCGCCGCCCATGAAATCTTGGAGATCCTTCATACAGATTTCAATATGGAGTTCTCCAGCACCAGCAACAATGTGCTCACCAGACTCTTCCATTGTGCAGACGACCATAGGGTCAGAATTGGCCAGCCTCTTGAGACCTTCAACAAGCTTCGGGAGATCAGACGCAGTCTTGCATTTCACGGCAACACGAACTACGAGGGAGATAGAGAACTTCATGGCACGAAGCGGGTGTGCGTCCACTTCCTTCTCATTTGTCAAAGTAGCATTCTTTGTGATGAACTGATCCAGGCCAACCATAGCAACAGTGTTACCACAAGGAACATCCTCCACTGTCTCTTGCTTCTTACCAAATAACAGTCCTCTGGACACTCTTTACAAATAGATCCTTCTTTTCATCAGGGACATAGTTGGGACCCATGATCCTCACTTTCATACCAGTAGAAACCTTTCCAGAAAAAGACACGACCAAAGGCAAAGAACCTACCCTTGTCAGATGCAGGAATCATCTTAGAGACGTAGAGCATGAGAGGACCATTTGGATCACAGTTTCTGATAGCTGTGGCATACTTATCATCAAGGGGACCTTCGTACAAGTTCTCAACACGGTACCTCTGCGCAGTGTAGGGTGATGGCAAGTGAACATGGGCTGGGCTATATATGCTCTTTATTTAAATTAATTAAGTTATTGTTACCAAGAAGTACAAATTGTATGCAAATAGGTGAGATATAATATTAGGAGAAATGGAGAATAACTATACATATGGATCAACATGGGTATATATAATCAGATACATATTCATCATATATACAACACGATCCATATGCTTAGGTAATATATAACAGAAAACTGATGATCAGTGTATCTCCCTTGCAACAACCAACAAGTAAAACTAATCAGTTTAATTAAAGACATCAATCTAACTAGTTGAAGACGGGCCAAACGCAAATTCCACAACCGATCTTAGCTCGTCCCAGTTCTCGTACGTTATGTCGTGAATGTTATCGTTTAAGAAACGTGGAACCGTATCGACTTGTGTAGCAGTGTCCATGGGATCAATGAGCTGCTGATGTTGATGCTGAGGCGTTTGTTGAAGCTGGAAAACGTTCCTCTCATAATTATTCCTTTTGCCTTCCACAACGTTGATATTATTGTTACTACTACTACTTTCATTGTCACCAAAACTGATATAAGCTTCTTGATACTTTGATTGTTGCGTCGGCGTCACGCGTTTCCCACCTGCTAACTCTCTCCAGTCCGGAGTGTATTTTCGACTAGACACATTCCTCTTGAATATCCGGCACAACGTCCACACTTCCTGCAATTATATATGTATATATTATATGATACAATAATCATTAGCATTTACGATGATCATCATGATATAAAGTACAGTTGTAAACTTACAGCATGTAGCAAGGAAGAGGGAGTAGGGTTTGTAATGGTTGGGCCACCGGGGATGGTGTCATTGGCCGTGGGGAGACGAAACTCGTGCATCATCCAATCTGTCTTGCTGCCTTTTCCCGCGCTTCCGATGTAATAAACGAGTGTCTTCTTTAGACCGATCACGGCCTTGCTTGATCCATCGGAATATACAGGCTTGTCGATACCTGTGGCTTTCCAGAAACCGGAACCAGTCACTCGGTTCGGTCTTATGCTGTTTCTGTACTTCCTTCCTCTCTTGCAAAAGAAGTAACTCTCCTTCTCCGTATTCCTCGACCCTTCAAACAAATTCACTCTTGATCAGTAGCTTATAGTTAACTACAATTTTATGTGTTATATACACATGTGATCACATGGTTTGGAGCACAAGAAACAAGAGAGATTAAGAGTGAGTGAAGAGAAGCTTACGAGGAAGATCCCATGGATCGAATTTATAGATATCGATTTGGCTGATGATCTCATCGATCTTGCTGGGTTTCTTGAGGTGTACTTTTCTAGAGAGATAAAACCCAACAAGCTCCTCGTCAGTCGGATGAAACCTAAACCCTGGGAGTTTCAACACTTGTTCCTCCTCTTCTTCTTCTGATTGTCCCCTACTTTTTCTGTCCCATGATCCTTCCATCATATCCTCCATGCCTTTGGTTGTACTGTTTTCTCGTTTGGCTTTTAGGACTCATACAATCTTGGAATCTTCTTGCCTTCTTGGGATTATATAAAGAAAGTTTGTCTCTTTTAAAAAAAATCGATTCGGTCAAGTCATTTCTGTTGACTTATTTGATCCTATTTAATCAATGATCCGACTCAGTAAAAGTCGTTCGGGCTTGAGTATTTGGAATAAGTCTTTTCGCATCAATGCGTCCGTATCCCGTATACGTGGATGACGCTTTTACCCTTCATTTAGTGGAGAGGCTAAGGAAAACGTCAAGGAGTGGACTGACTTTTTGATACCCTGATTTAATTTTTGTGTCTGATATTGTTCCAAACATTTGAATTTCTTCAAGGCTCATCATTATTGCTTGCATATTATATTCTCGGCAAGGACCAAAACATCTACTTATCATCATTACTCTTAACGCACAATTCCGACTTCGTGCTCGTAAAGGTAAAAGATTTGTATGCTTCGTTTCCAAAAAATTAACTTGTAGAGATTAGTAAAAGAAAAAACACGAGGAACGTTGCATTTTCTATTCAGTAATTTCTTCGAAATTGACGACGGCAAAGCCACCTAATGAAGACCGAATATTACCATTCAGCTCCTTTCTCACTTATCCAGAAGATTTTACTGGTTATTTGTAGTTCAACTTCATTTGGAGCAATGCGTTGTTAATCTGTTCTTAACACAAAAGGTAATAACTATTTGACCTATATTATGATGATATCTTAGATGATTTTCTGTTGTTGTTACATCCTTTTGTGGTGATAAGTGATAACTGTGATAGGTGCAAATGTAACTCTCTTTGCAAACCGCGAGGCTACTAAAATCCTGATGGGGGAGAGTCGTGCTTAAAGATGTGCCGTCAAGTGAACACTGAACAGTAAAAAGTATAGTGGAATTAATATCTACAGTACCACCATCCATAATTATTAATTTGACAACAGCAATTTCCACTGCAACAGAAGAGTTTCCCATTAATTAATACACTGCTCATTGTCAAAACTCGAGAGAAGCAAATTCGCCATTCAAGCTAATGTTGGTTCTGACTTTTTTGTCCAAATCTTTACCGCAACTTTAGAAAAGCTTTTGGTAAAGGAACCATTCTCCAACACAAACATTTACCTTTAGTTAATTTCATTGGAGTGCATACAAAAAAAAACAAATATTATTAACTAATTTTGATGTAAAAAGTAGCAAATTAAATAAGGTAAACCAGTGAAAACGAAATTTAGTATGATAATTGTTTAAATCATATGATGGATCATAGAAGGACAACATTCAAAATTTGAATGAATATATAATATCCTCTAATTATTTGTTTGTTTCAGTTTGTATAGTCAAATCGTAGCGGCTGGTCAAGTCAAAACTCAAAAGACAATTCAACCAGAGTCATCAATGGTTGACCCCAAGTTGCTCTTGTTGGACATCTTCCTCTCCATCAAGAGCAATAAACCTCATTTGATTTCTATTCAATTGTTTTTTTTTTTTGGCAACTGAATTGTCATTTTATACAGTGCTTAGAATGAGAAAAACAAATAGTATCTCGAAAAGGTAAACCAAAACGCTTAGTACGTTTTTGTTTTTGGTATAAAAAAACACCTACGTATGTTTTAAGTTTACATAATATTTACTCATATACTTCAAGAGTTTGGTCCATTCTCATACATGCTCCATGATATAATTAAGAATCATTGAAATATATGCAACTACAAGAATACTTGCGATGGGACGCCAAGAGAGAGAGAGAGAGAGAGAGCGAAAGAGAAATAGTTATACATGCGACGAACCGATGATGTAAGAATGCGATGATTAATCTACTACAGATAGTTAGATATTTAGAGGAAGATACGAGGTAATTGGGATATATAATCATAATTTCATAATGGGTCGTTGATCTAACTCGATCGTGGATTGACTTAAATAAAGAAAAAGTTACATTTATACTTGCAGGTCTTCTCTTGTGTCGTGTAAAAATTAGATTCTTTATTTATGTTGTAGCAGAAAAATCAATATGATTTGCGACTAGGTAGTATGGTACAAATACAGTTAATGTGGTCCGTACATAATAAATGTTATGACTCAGTATGACTTTATGATCACATTAAGATATGAGTAAAAAGTAGTTTTGAATCCCTTTAAAAAAGAAAGCTAATTTTTGATTAATTTAAATTGTAGGTTTTAGATACTCTTTAAGAGAGGAAGGAAATTGTCAAAAGAAAAATTAAAGAAGGAAGCAAGCAATGGCACGAGGTTTGAAATTTCGTAAACGTCTAACGTCATAATGTTTGAAGTACATTAGTTAAATGTACACGTTTCACGTCACAACCAAAAGTCTAGAATCTTAACGTTTATGTTCTCCATCGACTTTCTTCAAAACTGTACCATATATCTCGCATTTAGAAAATAGTATAGATTTTTTTTTTTTTTGTGTGTGCTAAAGTTCAATATAATTTTTGTTTACTTCTTGTATAGTCAACGAAAATTTGTGTACGACCTAGACTAAAACCCGGTACGTCTAAATCGAAAATATAGTATGCCATGAAAACCGAAAGAAAGAAATGAAAAATAATATGAAAAATGAGAAGAAAAGTCTCGAAAATTAAAATGGAAGTCCTTACAGAAATTGGCAAAAATATAATCATTGCACTTTGAAATTTTAGTGAAAAAAAAACCAAGCATTCAACCTGTTATGCATTAAATTTTCGTAAGGACTCGTCAGGTTTATTGAGAGCCATGTGCACGAAGAAGGCAGAAATTAATTTCCCCGCAGTGTATTTATTATTAGTTGTAGCAAAATAAAAACATTGGGATCGAACAAGGCTAAGAAAAAGGAAATAGCGTCGGCCGTCGAGTATTTGTGGTTGATTTTGCACGTGGTACGTAACTGATGATAGTATCAATCGGCACGTGCGAAATCGAGAGATTTCTTGCCCTCGTGAGGCTGACCGAAGAAGTTATTCATGTAGTCTTGAAACAACAACTCCTTGTAACGAGCCACTCCGTCACGCTCCACAACTTCAGGCAACGGACCGATCTTCTCTGAGGGATTAGGTGCGGTGAAAATGGGTACAGAGACTCTCGATCCGATGTTTGTGGTTCGAACCCTGTGTTCAGCGCTTTTGTACCTCCCATTGCTCAGAATCTATAGACCAAAATTTAGATATCATATTAGAATATCATAAACAAAGATAATAACATTCATTTTTATCATCAATATGTCTTAACGGACTTGCAAAGTGTCGCCGACGTTAATGACCAAAGCTCCGTCGAGGGGAGGGATCTCAGCCCATTCACCGTTGTCTAGTTTAACGTAGAGACCACCAATGCCGTCTTGTAATAAAACGGTCAACATTCCCATGTCGGAGTGACGACCAACACCGATGGTCAGCTCGGGGCTGGGACAGGTTGGATAGTAGTTCATGTTGACCAGCTTGGTTCCCATCAAACCATTCATTCTCTCTTCTTCTAGTCTCACTCCTACATTCTCCATCAGAACTTCAACTATCATTTTCACCATTTCCATCGACGATTTTAGGAACTCAAGTGCCACGTCTCTGTCACGCACGTATAATTACATGTATTGTTAAATTTTATAATATTTTTAAATCAAAACTAAAATGGTAATTAGTGAGCTAATCCATGCATTTTATATATTTGAGATATGTGAGTTTCCTAACATGTATATACGTACTCTGTATTATCTATAGCACAAAATTGTATATACTGTTATAATATAGATTTTATCCGTATAATATACATACCTGCATGGTTGAGGCCAGTGTTGAAGAGCTTCATGGTCAGTGGTGTAAAGCATGCTCACATAATCCTTCCACTCAATGGCCTTCTCCTTCTCTGGCACGAAGCTTGTTCCGTACTTAACTAGCCTGCTTGGACTCACTTCTTTTAGGTAAATCGCTTTTTTCTCTGGACGTTGTGCGAAAAACTCATGAGCCGCCGTTTTTAGCAATTCAAGCAGCTCAACCGAAACACCATGGTTCACCACCTGCCATTTGCATTTTATTCCTCAAACTATAGTCTTTTCGTATTAAACATGCATTTTTTTACGAGATTGATAAACATACTCACGAATCTACTTTTTTTTTTTTGACGATATCTAACGTTAGTATCCGGGTCAAATGTACACATTCACACGCATATGTTGCTCCTTTCTTTTTTTGGTTGTAGTTATATAATACTGCAAGCAAAACGTAAATGTTCTATGTTTCGGCCACTACTTACCTGGAAGAAGCCAAGCGTCTCGGCAGCTTCAACGATCTGTTTGGCCACCTCCTTGTGGTGTGGACCATTAAGCTGGGAAAGATCGATCGGCTGGGAAGCTTCACATGTAGGGGCGTTTGGGTTCGCGATTCGCTCAGAGAGCGGCTGGACGAAGGGCTGTGGAACACAAGACATGCCTGAGTCTATCAGACCCTTAACGCCGTTACCTTGTTTGACCACGAAGTTGAACAGTGTGGTTTGGTCCTCGAAATTGAAAGCCATTATCTTTATATGCTTTTGCTCGAAAATGATTGTTGAGAGGTCCTAAGAAGCGGACGGGGTATATATAGTGACGAAAAATAGGGTGAAGATCTTACTTCTTCTTTTTGGGTCTGAGAGAGAAGGTTTACTTGAGATAATGTTTTTAAACGTAACTAGTATTTGAATATGTGGGATTAAGTTATAATCACTTGGTACTCCCCTGGATTTAGAGAAGTTGATTTGTATACTCACAATTCACAAGCGTGTATAATGCCAACTTTTATTTCTTTTTTATTCTTTATATATTCGAGAGAATGTTCTTGAATGAGTTTGTTGTCGTATAGATGCAAGTCTTCTCATCTTTGATTTGATGTTTTGTCAACTAGTTGTTAATATTTACCAACAAATATGTACCTTCTCTATGTAAAGCCTGCACTGCACACATGTTAATACAGGAAATACAAGTGAATGTTGAGTCAATTCATTTTCTAACCTTCAACCATTCAAAGTTTTTTGAGCCACTTCCTTTCAAGATAACATATATGGTATGCGTCTTGCCATGAAACACAAATGTCAATGACATATATGTTTGAGTGGGTATAATAATAAAGCAAGTTACAGAATTCAAAAACTCTTAAAACACATTTTTTTAATATACTATAACTAAAATCTAATGAAAAATGTAAAAAAAATAATAATCACGCTTGATACTACTTAACAGCTGGCTATCAAGAGGCATGCCTCTCTCTCAAACTTAACACATCTTCGCAATTAAAGTCAACCCCATCGGACTCTATGCTTAGTAGTTAATTTGCAATATGGGCCTAAATCTAAAAGCCCATTAACGTCGAAGAACTACACTTATATTAGAAGCCCACCAAGGCGGATGCCTATATTCTGCTTAATCCTCGATATGATTGTCATATTCAAATTTGGAGACTTTTTTTTCTGGAATACCAAATTTATTTTTCTTTATATTTTTTATACCGATTGAATAGAACAAATACTATGCTTCATTGTTAACAACTATATTACTTAACATTTGAACCAAAAATAAATTTGATTTATATATTTTCATTTTATGAAGAAAACTCTAAAATTTATGACTTATAAAAATCTATTACTTGTGTGATATGTTTTTCTTCTCGATGATATGTGATATGTTTTCAACTACCTAAAAGATGCTATAGCTAGACATTTATATATTTCGAAATCAATTTGCAGTATCACATTTTGTTTAGAGGTGTTTTAGAAATTATAAGTATGCAAAAGAGAATTAATGAATACAAATACGATACAAAAAGGGAAAAAGATGGGAGAGGGATGTCTTGTCTGGAAAAGAAATTGGTGAAAGAGACAATGGAAGTGAAATCTCACATTTGGGTAGCAAAGATCGCTATTGTTACACAGTTGCATGCAATAAGAAGCCTAACTAGTAACTACGTCCCTATTTTGATTCCCCAAAAGATGATTACTTAGTTTCCACTTTCTGATTTTAACTTTCGTTAATCGTTGTCATGATTGGATATTTAAGTGATTTTTAAATTATATAAACGGAAAAAGGTCAGATTTTCCCCAGCTCAGTGGGAAAGGTCAACCCATCTAGTAATTCATCATTTTCTATTAAGATTCTGTCGGACCCTGTCGTGTGGCCATCGTTGCATTATCTTATTTTCCAAAATCCCACGAACTATGCGCAGTTTGGTTACTTATATGCGTAACATTTAAATTCAATTGCTGCATGATTAGAAACCACGTGGCTCTGCTAATCTCAGCGTAGTGTCTTTTATTGGCTGCAATGCCACTTTGATTAGCCAGCCGTTTAATCCTATGTTATATGATTCCTATATTAGTAATTGTTGAATTATATATATCTCATAATTTTTTTTTATAAACCATGTTAGTTATGTGTTTTTTGCCAATTTTTGTTTTGATTAAATCAAAGTGGGTTTGTGATACAATGGACTAGAGTCCGTTTTGCTAACATATCGGCACTGACATTCAATTCTTGTTTGGTATGTCTGAAATTAATGCTTTCAAACCTTCTGGCGATAGATTGGATATGGATATCACTGATGATGCCATAGAGTTCTGAGAACTCCGTCGTCGTGGTGACCGTCTTGATCATCTGCATCTGTATGAAGTCAAGCTTAAGGCTGTTAAAATAATAATATGTGTTTTTGTCCGATAACTTCATGCTTAAAGCGTATATCACCATCATTTTCAAATAAAATTAAACTAAATAATTTTGAAAACTTTCAAGTACCACTTAATTGAATTGTATCTCACTGGACTAGAAAAAGATATAAGAATAATATTATTATATCGTTTTCCAAAAAAATAAATGTAAATAATATAAACTGAGGTCAGGAATTGGAATTAGACATATTAGCTCTCCCTCCCATTGAAGGGGTAAGTTGTTGATTGCAGCTTTCGTTTTCAGCATGCATAGAGAGCGACCTTCACTGCTATAACGGTAACACAGGGCTTTATAAAATTTGGAAAATCCAGCACCGAATCTTTGTAACATTTTTACTAAAGTGGACAAATAAAGCATTTTGTGTTTACTTATTTTCAACGCATATCACAACATGTGAAGGCGCAATTCCTCCAAATTACCTATTCAATTAATAGTTTTATTAATTAGTCTTTTGTTCAAGAACTAAATTGCAGCATTATATCATCCGAATTAAGTGCTTAATAGCGTGAATTCTTGTATTTTGTAGGCTATTAGATAGAATACTTTGTGTCATTTGATTTTTAGAAAGAAAAAAAAAGGGAATTAACTCCTATTGCCTTTTGTCTGTTCAAGTTGACCAGTTATACTTATTCATATAGAATACAAACAAAAAAAAAGTTTGAGATAGTGGGAATTCACCGAAATTATTGAAAATATGGGTAAAACACTGATGTTTTTCTTGATCTATGGAAGAAAACTGACAAAAGGGAAGATAACAATTAATGATTACTTGATGCAATCTTTATATCTTGGTTTTGACTTAAGCATCTGCGATAGATTGATTGAGTCATATATGTATATACCCAAAAGTCAAGAAGCGGAGTCAACTCACTTCAGTAACATCGATTTATAATCAAAATCGAACTCTATACCAATAGACTACTCTAACAGTAAAAGTCTAATAGTAACCATGAATTGACGAAATTAAAAAAAAATGATTTTGTGGCTAAGTACATAATTTCCATATATTCATTATTAGAAGTGTTGAGAAGAAAAAGTGGAAAAGAAAAAAAGCAGATGAGAAGAGAGGGCTTCAGCCTTCAACCTCACATATATTCGTCAAAGCAAAAAAAAATAAAGGGGACAAATTCAGAGAATATAATTTACAGATTTTTAAGCCTTATATAATGTTTGTTTTAAAGAATTATATGTCTTAAAAAGTGATTGGAACTTGGTTCCGTATCATGTCTCTCCCTTGCACTCTCTCTCTATATTTACATTGCCATAATACAACCTATCATGTATAATTTGATGCTTAAAATTGTAGACAATATTCTTTAGCTCCTTACCTATCATTGCAAGAATTTTGTGTACAACTTATCATGTTTCTGTGTTCTGTTGTTATGACCAATTAATCGGCATTATTCTTTATATCCATTCATATATAAGTATGGACAAGAAAGAAAAGAAGGCCACAAGCTATGTTACGTTAAGTCATTCGTCTTATGATTAAAATTACATCATATATATTCCTTAATACACATTTGTTCCATTCTACTAGTTAATTAATAATCTCTTATCGACTCACTCCATTTATTCGAATCGTAAAAGGTGTTGTTTGCCAAAATAATCTCAACAATCTTTTTAATCCTCTCTCACCGAATCATCTTTTATATATTTTGGTTTTTCGCGTACGTGGTAAATCTTCAATCTACTGTAAAAGATAAAAGTACCTCTCTTTTTATTTATTTATTAAAGGCACTAATAATTAAAGAAACCGGAATAACTTGCTCATGTATTCATGTATTGAGATTGCTATTGTACTGAAATCATTCTCACGTCATAGATATATGATGATATTAAGTGAAGTTCTTTTATTCTATTTACTAGACAGAATCTTCATGCTCATTAATCCCCAGGAATAATCGAAGTACATTATGATAAGTATACCATCAAATAAATAAGCTCCGTAATTAAACTAAACTAATTGATCAAATTTTATAGCTAGCGACATTAATTCATTCATTCGGCAGTAAACGAAATAAGTAAGTAGGATGAGAACTCAGAAGCTCCACGTGCTTGGATGATGAGCATCTCTAGGAGCGTCTAATTCACAAGGAAAAGGAATTAGACCAGACATTGCTTCGTGAAGCCATCCGTCGTCGTTTTCCATCTGCTAAAAAGTCAGGATATGCGTTAGTAAATGATGATCTATACGTATATGCTTGATGAATACTGCCCTGGAATCATATTAAATGAATATTAATTAATAAATACCTGGATTAGATAGTCGTCTGATCCCGAAAACATATCTTCGTCTTTTTCAGAATGGTTGTTGTGATTCTTAGACATGGGAGATTGTTGTTCACATGTGTCATTGTTTCTAGCAAATCGGCCCCGAACACGAACACGCCGGTCGGCTAGGGTTTTACGACACACATACTGCATGTATATTTATATATTTTTAAAACTCTCTTTCATGAAATAACAAAATGATTGTATACGTACCTTGATAGTCTTATTGAAGTTGCGTTGGTTCTTCTTCTTCAAGTATCTCATGATTCTGTCTTTACGTTCTTCCACTGAATAGCGTCCCACTTTTGTGTTCGGCTCAGCTTGCATTCCTCCTTCACTACTTCCCTGCGTCATATAAATATATTTTCTTTCATTTCGCTTCTTATGAATATATATAAATATATATATCAATATCCATTTATTAAAGATAGTATACGATGTGGAAACGTGCTTATATACCCAGGATTGCTCTCCAGTGGATGGACGGAACAAGGGCTTGATATCCGGTGAAAATCCGTAGTATTCTTGATCTCCACCGTGAAAATATTGTGTTGCATTATTCACACCCATTTTCTGGTAATAATTGTTGTACTCCGGCATAGAAACGTCAGAAATCCCAAGAAATTGGGGCAAAAATATGGAATCTGGATTAGAAGATGTTGTGTTGAAGGAGCTGTAAT